GTGTGTGTGTGTGTGTGTGTGTGTGTGTGTGTGTATGTATTAACTATATAAATTGGAAAGCCTTTAAGATTTTCCCCATTAGGTCTTACATATTAGAAAATGGGAAGAATTGGAATGGCATTCTTTTAATCCCATCAGTGCTTTCAATTTTATACAATCTCAAACATACAGAAAAGTAGACAAAATGTTACAGTGAACTTCTGTGTACCCATCTGCAACACATTATCAGCATATGGCTAATTTTTGTTTTCCTTTTTTATTTAAACAAGATTAATTGGGAATCAGGATTATTTCAACTGAAGAGTTCAGTTAGTGTGAATTCCTGCTGAGGCCCTGATAGGATTTTGGCCTGGTTACCTGATGCCAGATGTATGTCCAGACACTTGATTATATGAGTGCAAATGAAATGATGCATACTCAGCTCACAGGAGACCAAAGGGTAAACCAGAATGTGCTCAGAATATGTTGGTTTATGCTGAACTCTAGTGCTGATTCACACAGCTGATGAACATGCTTTCTTCCTTTTGGCAAGTCCACGTTGGAAGCCCAGCAGTAGTAAGGTGGTAGGCTCAGAGCCAAAGGCAGGTCAGATACACTTGGAAAATATTTATTTCATGTGGCTTCTGGTGCAGGATGGTGGGTTCTCCTTGTCTCTGAGATGCCTCTGAAATGACACAAATAGGTATGGACAGGAGCACACATGTTCCTCTTTCTTTTGGACAGAGCTGGGTGAAAGACACCAAGCTGTTACAGTTGGAGGGTCCCTTTGGCTGGCTGGTAATTTCTTACTGTTCATATGTTCTTTCTTCAAAGAGATATAAACAGCAATATTCTTAATTTAGCTTCACCCACTACATGTGAATGTTAATGAGTGTGACCCTCAGAAGATGAAATGATAGGCTAGCTATTGCTTGCATACCACCAAGGGTCTGGGCTCTGGAGCTTCCAACCCACACCATTTGTGTGCTGTGACACCTTGCTTGACCCTTCTGAGCCTCCATTTTCCTATGTGTTTTATTGGACTAATAGTAGCATCTACCTCATAGGATTGTTATGGGGCCTGGATGAGTTAACCCTTGCAGACCATTTAGTAAGACACCTGACATGTAGTTAGTGTTCAAGTACAAGGAAATTATTGTTTCCTGAGAATTTAAATTTTGGCCTTTTCTTGGCCTGTTCTTCACTCTCTGTCATATAAACAAAGCAACAGGTGAAAAAAGAAAAGAAGTTGAAGTATATTGATAGAATTAAAATGTAAGAAACAGGCTAAAAGTTATTAATAGAAGGCAAAACAGACCTGAGTGCAGTGGCACATGCCTGTAATCCCAACTGCTTGGGAAGTTGAGGCAGAAGGATCGAAAGTTTGAGACTAGCCCTGGCAACTCATTGAGATCCTGTCTCGGGGAAAAAAAAACAAGGAAAGAAAGAAAAGAAAGCAAAGTAGAGCCTAAGCATTGTTGAGCCTTCTCTACCTCTGTCTCATAAGATGATAAGGATTAAGTCTGGAAGTCAAAAGGATAAAAAAATACCCCTCACCACCTCTCCTCCATTTAAGCTAAAAGTAGTTTTAAAACAGAAGTTGGTGGTAGGGCACTTGCTTAGTGTGTACCAGGCCCTGGATTCAATCCCTAGCACCAGAAAAACAACAACAGTAAAACAGAAATTGGGACTAATGCAACCTTAATCATCATCTTCTTTTGCCCAGGGCAGTTATAAGGCAGCCTGCCCCTTGGCTGCTCTCGGTAGCCTGGCATTCTCTTGGGGCCTGGATACTGCTATGTAAAATTGTCCTCTTATGCAACATCTTTTTGAATGATGTCACACATTAGATTCTTCATTTGCAACACATCAGAGATCTTTTAGGCCTGTGCCACATGAAGTTGGAATTATATTTCCTTCAAATCAGTCCAAATCAATCTTGTATCTGATGCCCTGTTTTCTCAAAATGCTTGCCGCCTACACTGCCTCCTAGGTAAAGTGCAAAGTCGTTAGCCCTGCATTCAAGGGCTCTCACAGGGAAATCCTAACTACATCTTTCTCAACTTGTTTCCATACCAAATCTGAGCTTTTCATAGCTCCCCTCCAAAAATATTTGCATATTTTGCTTATTTCTGTCTTCTTTCCTTTGCTTTTATTATTTATGTTTCCTAGCATGCCTTGTTTTTCTAGATTTATTCACATTGTCTTTCAGGTTTTCCTTGACCACCCACTCATTTATCCGTGCAGCCATTCATTCATCTGTCTGTCCATCAGTGAATCTGCCATTTACAAAATAACCAGAGATCCCAAAGCTTTGTTTTTCCTCCACTCAACATGAAAGAAAACACAAAGTCTCAGCAATAAGAAGAAAGCATCTAGACTAGTCATTAGACCACCTGCAGCAGAATTTCCTTTGGGTGCACAGATAAATATAGATTGCTGGGTCTCACCTAGCTGACAGTAGGGCTAGGAATCTTCATTTTGATGTGTATCCTAGAAAATTCTCATACTAAGGCTTGAGGACTTTATATCTAGACCCCAGACAATGCCAAATTCAGAAGCCCCAAATAACCAATATCTTCTTTGCTAGATAGAAACTGGCAGCACCTCAGCTCTTCTTGGCTCCACCAAACAACATGTTGGTGTGGTAACAGGAGCTGAGCAGTGATGAGAGAAGGAACATGAAGCAGTTATTTCCTTCATTTCCTATCAGATATCTAAGGAATACCTTCATTACCTACTGGACTATCAGGTGTATCTATAATCAACTGAGAATTGAACCCAGAGCTTTCTCACTGAGCTGCATCCCCAATATCTCCTCTCCCAGTTTGGAGACCCTCCCCCCCCCCACCCCGCACCACCACCACTGGGGATCGAACTCAGAACCTTGTGCTTGCAAGGCAGGCGTAGCGCCACTGAGGTAAATCCCCAGCTGACAGGGTCTTAATAAGTTGCTAAATTACCCAGGCTGGGCTTAAAGCTGCAATCCTTGCAGTCCTTGGGGTTACAGGCATGTGTCACCATGGCTGGCTTTCCTCTGGCTTTTGAATTGCCAAACCCTGTTTCTCCTCACACTGAGTGCTTTATTGTGAACTTGCATTTAAACAGAGGTCAAAGCATATATGCTTTTTTTTTTTTCTCTCTGAGACTTTAAAAATTTTTTTTTGGTACCGGGGATCGAACTTGGGTCCTTGTGCTTGTGCAGCAGGGGGCGAAACCACTGAGCTAAATCCCCGGCCCTCTCTCTGAGACTTTCTTTTTTTGGTACTGGGGATCAAACTCGGGTCCTTGCGCTTGCACAGCAGGTGGCAAGACCACTGAGCTAAATCCCCGGCCCTCTGAGACTTTTTAAATGTTAATAAATGAAAAACCTTTAAATTAGGTAATAAATACATGTTGTACAAAATTCAAAGGTCTTCACATCTGTGTTCCCCCCTCAGCATTTTACCATCCTTGGAGGCAGCAATGTTCACAGTTCTTTGTTTTATTTTTTCCTAGAGAGTGTCTACAAATGTATATGTATATATTATATATGTTTATCCTTTTTTAAAGACATAAATGCTAGTGCATTATTCACTGTTCTGTATCTTGTTTCCTTTACATATCTTGTAGATTGTTCTATATTCCTACAAACAGAAATTTGTTTTTTTTAATAACTGAATTATTGGAGTGTTTTATAGCTAATTTAACCAAACATCTGTTGGTGAACATTTAGGCTGTTTGAGTTTTTGGGTATTATATGTAATTATGCAATGAATATGTTTGTATATACATTTTTGGGCATGTATATTAGTATGTCTGTAGTATAATTTCCTACAAGTGAAAATCTTGAATCTAGGAATTGTTCATGGTATATGTTGATAAGTATTACAGTTGATTGCAGATATGTCCACTAATACTGATTCCAGTGGTCCCAGAGAGTTGGAAATATATCCTGATAGTTCTTTTTAGAATTTACTGTCCTTTGAAAACAACTTGTTCCACAATGTTTAAATATTTTTGTTTAGGTCTTTAGAGACAAAATATGGCTATTTATAATGTATAGTTACTCTTTTCCAGCTTAGGAATCATATTTTATACTTGATAGAAAACTACCAGACAGTGGTGATTGTTGGAGAAACAGGATGTGGGAAAAGCACGCAGATTCCTCAGGTGAGTACGTAATTAATACGAGTCCTTATACTTAGATTTATTTGGAAGGACTTTGTATCTTGAAAACCCTCTTTACTATGATTTGCATTTTTAAGTCTCCTCTCAGGAACTAGTCACCTCTCAATTAGGAAATATACACTTTAGTCACTTTTTTGTTAAACTTTTAGGGCTTACAATTTCTTTGATTAGTGCTAAAGTTAATATTTCTTCAATTTATTATATTTCCAAAATAAAAGTGGAATAGCCATTCTTTGAAAAGAGCAGTGAGGAATTATTTAAAGATGTGTAATTCATTGCTTTTGTCCTCAAATAATTACAGTTGAATACCACTGTAGCTGCAAGTGAAAATTGGCTATTACAGAAATACGCAGTACTATGGAAGAAACTTGTCCTACTGGGAAAAATTCTATCTGGTATAAATAGGAGTGGAAAGACAAAGGGACCAGGAGAGGATCCAAGTTCAGAGGAAGCAGAGGAGGAGGGGAGTTTCAGGAGGTGAGTGGGCATGAGTTGCAGCCTAGAGAGTGACCAGGAAGTAGGAGAACAAAATCAGTCCTGGGTTGGTCATCTTGGAGAGTCAGTCCAGTGGAGTGGAGGAAGAGGAGGAGAATGTACTTCACAGGGAGTGGAGCCGTGGTGAGGAGTGAGGAGGCTGAGACAGCAGCTCTCTGGTAGGGTTTTACAGGGAGGAGAGTCTCTGGGGAAGGGATAAAAACCCTTTGCATTTTTGAATGTGTTGATGATGTGTTATTGGCTACCTGGTGCGGACTTGTGATCTTGGTAAGATCTCTATGTTTTTTTTTCTAACTAAATAGCTTAGGGCCATGGAAGTTTCTTTTTTTGGGTTTAGTCCCCCCCCCCCCCCGGCCCCGTACCAAGAATCGAACTCAGGACCTTGCGCTTGCCAGGCAGGTGTGGTGCCGCTGAGCCAAATCCCCAGCCCCTCTGTATGGTTTTTAATACCTTTCTCTGCTCTCCCACCCCCATTCAGAATAATGGGTTTAGGATCAAGCTCAGACATAGGTATTTTTTAAAAGTTCTCCAGGTGATCTAAGGTGCAGCTAGGGAAAGGTAGGCAGAGGGGACTGACTTAAGAGAAAAGATAATTTGAAATGCAGACAGCAGAAGAAATGGTGGCCTGAAGGCAATATGTATGTACAATTAATGTCAAAAGCCCAGAAAGTTACTTGTTTCTTAGAGAAAGAAACAGGAAGGGCCAGGTTAAATTCCTAAGAGGTTATTAGTACTAATAATAGGTAATTACTATAATAATAGTAAGTGCTACATAAAGTGAACAGTTTACCAGTATTTATTTACTTCTCAATGACCCTATGAAGTAGGACCTGTATTATCCCTTCTATATAGGTGAGGTTGGGGAATATAGAATTGAGGTAAAAGGTCACACAAGAGATCCGTTAAGTTTTGGAATTAGTCTTTGGAATTACTTCTTTAGTCAGCTTAGGATAAACTATGTTATGGTAACAAAGAACCTGAAAATCTTAGTGGCTTAACAACACAAAGGTTTATTTCTTGCTCATATATATGGTCATCTTGGCTTTGAGCTGCTATGTGTCATTGCTGGGACTGGGCCCGACAGCACAGCTCTTATTTGGGATTGTTGATGTTGGGGTACGGGCCATAGTTAGGAGATGGCTTTCATGATCCTTGTGCTTAGATTTCATTGGTCAAAGCAAGTTTCATGGCCAGGCCTGATAGCAACAGGGCAGTATATAATCTGTCTGCAGGGATAGGTAGCAGATATTTGGAGAAATACAATATAGCATATTAATCTAGTCATGTCCTCCAGCAAGGCTCAGCTGCCAGGGAACAGAGAGGGCCTGTTGAGGGCTGAGTTCAGGGAAAGAATGGCTGGAGAGGAGTAAGGGCTAAGGATCCAGGCTGGGCAGTGTGGCAGGAAAATTGTAAGGTTTATTTTAACAATTAAAAGTTTTTTTAATATTTAACAGGTTCACCTGGTTTAAAATTCAGAAAACCCTGAAAGGACACAAAAAGAAAGCCTTCCCTTGTTTATCTTCTGGTGCTTATTTCCTTTATGCAGATGTAACCAATGTTATCAGTTTTTTGGGGTAGAGATTTTTTATGCATTTTACATATATAGATTTTCCTTTTGAAAACATCTATATGTTTTAATGTACCTTTTTTCCTTTTAATATATTATAGTTTTTTTCTGTTCCATAGATTGTAGTATGTAAGCATAATTTATTTTACCAATCTCTGGTTGATAGATACTAGGTTGTTTCTAGTTTTGTTTTTTTATTTTGTTTTGTGGTACTGGGGATTGAACTCGGGTCCTTGTACTTGCGAGGCAGGTGGCGGAACCACTGAGCTAAATCCCCGGCCCTCTAGTTTTGTATTATCACAGTAATGTAATGAGTCAGTTTGGCACATACATCATTTTGCATATGTACAAGCGTTTCATTTTAGTTTTCTGTATTGGGTATTGAACCTAGGACCTTCAGTATACTGGGCATGTGCTCTACCACTGAGCTACATTCCTATCCTTTTTTATTTTTAATTTTGAAAATTTTTATTATTTTAAAATTGTTATTATTTTTTTGGTACTGGAGATCAAACTCCGGACCTTGTGCTTGCAAGGCAGGCGCAGTGCTACCTACTGAGCTAAATCTCCGGCTCCTTTAAAAAATTATTTTGAGATAGGATCTCACCAAGTTACCCCAGGCTGACTTCAAAATAGTGTTCCTTCTGCCTACTGAGTAGCTTGGATTATAGTCATGTGCCATCATCCTGGCTAACAAGCTCTTCCTAACCAGTTTTTATTAGTACTGTTATTGGTGGAAGTATTCCTTATCCCATTCTTTACCTAGAAGACCAGATTTGATCATCTTGAAGCAGCATGAAGAAGTGAGATGGGATTCAGCTTCCGGTTCCATGATCTCCCTCCATGACACCTACTGCTTCTTGGTGTCGACACTACACCTGCTCTTGCAGTATTGTTCAGTTTCCTCCTTGAAGCAGTCGTAATCATGTACAGCAGTCTAATGAGTCACTCAGTGTAGTGAGATGACTAGCCTCATGGAACAGGATGTTTGTTTTTATGGAAATTGTGTCTTTCGTTTAACACTGTTACTAAGGGATGAGTTCCATGTGTGTTTGTTTGAATTTGGATGGTAGAATTGTGTCCTGGTTATGTGTCAGGGCTTTGGTTTGTTAAGTTTGATTACCAGAGCTTAGATTTTTATCTGCTTCCTTGGACAAGTTATGTGATCTCTTTGTTCCCTCATCTGTATACTGCTGATGATGCTATCATCTTCTTTGTGGGATTTGTTGTGAGGATCACAAGGGGAATGCATGTAAGGCACTTAGCATAGTTCCTGGCACTTAGTAAGGTACTCAGTGAATCTTAGCTATTATTCTTATAGTTTTTGTATTTGTGTTGATTGGAGTGGTTGGTAGTATTTTTGTGTGTAATTAATATAAGAGACAGACACTATACTTCTTACAGCAACCTATGTGTATACGACAATTCATTTCTTATAGTTATTTCTTAAACTTTAATTTCAGTGTGAAGAGAAAAATTACAAAAAAATAATATATAGAATTTTCTTATACCCCTCACATTACTTTTAGTACAATACTCAAAAAGAGGACATTAACCTTGATATAATACTGGTAACTAGACTACGGATGTTATTTAAGTCTGATTACTTTTTGGGTTCTAGGATCCTACATTACACTTAGTTATTATTTCTCCTCAATCTGTGAGAGTTCCTCTGTCCCTCATCTTTTATGACCTTGCTGCTTTTGAAGAATACTAGACAATTACTTTTTAGAATGTCTTTCAGTTTGGGTTTCTATAACATTTACTGAAGATTAGAAGAGCTTATGCATTTTTGGCAAAAATGCCACAGAAATGGTACTATATCCTTAGTGCATCGTGTCAAGGGATCATGATGTTGATAGGTCTTGTCATTGGGGGTGTTAGCCTTGATCACTTGGTTAAGAGACTAGATTTCACCTGTAAAGCTACTGTTTTGGCCTTTGTAGTTAATACATATCTTGGGTGAGGTAATTTCAGGATGCAAATACTCTGCTTCTCTTCAAACTTCTACCTGCTAATTTTAGTGTCCCTCAGTGGGTCTTGTCTGCAGCAGTGGTGATGACTGTCTTTTTTCTCCTCTTTCCCTCTACCTTTGTAAATGGAATCTTCTCTAAGAAAGAACTGTCCCTTTTTTTCCATTTATGTATGTATATATGTATGTATATCAATATGAATTCATTAATTTTTTTTCCCGTGGGTTAAAGTTCAGCACAATGATTATTTTGTTGCTCAAAACGTTCCATCTTTGACCATTAGGAGCTCCTTTGGTTTGTCTCCTGCTTTCTTTCTAAAAGCCTCCATTCTTTTTTGAGCACTTCCTTAGTTAGTACTACAAGACATTGCTCATCTTATATTTTCCATATTTAAACCCTGATTCCTTTTATTGGAAAATGGTATTTAAAAATCAAGATCTAGATGCTAGGGTGCTCATTGCAACTGTGAATTTCACTGGACAGACCTGGGAAAAAAGGAATATTTTTAACCTATACATATAAAAGCATCTGTCTATTTTTATTTATATATATTAAACACAGCAAATTTATACTGATAACTTTCAGCCTAACCGTGTAGGCTCGTTTTAGTCTTTACTTATTTGTAACTTTCCCCAACAGCAAGAAACTCACTCTTTATAAACTACAATTTATTTATGTATTGGTCAAATTCTAGTATACACTTAAGATAGTTTTAAAAACTGCTGACCCACACCCTTGTTTGGGTATTTACCAACATTTACTAACTAAATTACAGCGTGTGGGGCTGAGGATGTAGCTCAGTGGCAGAGTGCTTGTCTAGCATGTGCAAGGCCCTAGGTTTGAGCCCCAGCACTGCAAAAACAAACAAAAGCAGTTACTAATATTTATTACACTTTGATTTGTCTTTAGCCTTTCAATATCTAGTGAAGATACTGTTTTGCATAGTTACTTGGCTTAGTCCTTCTCTACCCTTTGCAAGTATTTATTAGAAATACAGAAAGGGTCATTTGTTAGTGTTTGTATTTCCTTTTGGTTTCCCCCTACATCCTGGGGAGGAAATGGAATCTTTTTTAAGAAAGAACTAACTTACTTTCTTTCATATCAATATAGATTCTATGGGTTAAAATCTAGTACCATGATTATTTTATTTACAGTATTTGTGAGTATTTGATGGGTATATGAAACATCACTGTGGTTCTGAAAGTCAGAGCTACACAAAATGATCTCTTAGAACATTGTTACTCTATCATTCCTGTTACTGTTTCCATTTCCCCTTTGTCCTTTCACACCCAGCCCTGTAGATAACTATCTTCTTTAATTTCTGTATTATCTTTCCTTTATTTCTTTTGAACCAGTGAGCATATATATTATCAGCAGTTTTAATCTTTTTATTATAGAATATATATTCATTGTAAAATAATTAGACACTATATTTAACTCTGATAACCACTGTTATCCATGTAGGATTTTAAGTGCTTATTACTAAACAAGTACATAAATAAGTCAGATAAATACATTTAATCAAAATTTTTATATACAAATATCTAATGACATATATTCGTATATAAGTGTGAGTAATTTTTATTTGACTACAGTGTGTTGTATATTTGATATTTATTTTGAGCTGTCTCTTGTGTTTAAAATTCTTTGTTCTATGGATTTAGTACTGTTCTGAGTGTCCTCCGGATAGTTTTGTTTTTTCCCTTCAGGCCTCTGTAGTACAGTACATGGAAATTTTGTAGTCTGAGGCGTCTGAATGTTGAATCTGGTTCTTCTGTTTGTCAGCTTTGATGTGAGCTGAAACAAATTACCTAATATTATCAAGCTTAATATCTGTCATCTGTAAAATAATTTCCAAATTTCTGCTGAAACAAGAACAATGTTGTTTTCCTTGCTCAGTGATTTTTAACACAACACAGGCTCATCTTGGGGAGGTGGTGTCTGAGGTGTATTCACATGTGATTCTGCTTGCAGTACCTGGCAGAAGCTGGCTGGACAGCCGAAGGAAGAGTGGTTGGAGTGACCCAGCCTCGCAGAGTGGCTGCTGTGACAGTGAGTTTCTTTTTGTTTTGCAGTAATTTCTCTCTGCATCTTCTATTTCCCTGACTTGTTTTTTTCATTTTCTGAAAACTTCAAATGAACAGAAATTGCTGCTTTACAATTTAGCTCTTTGGTTTAGAAGGAGCTATGATTTGAATATTCTTGTAAAATTGATGTGTACACATGATGAGCATTTTAAGTAATGAAGTACTGTGGAAGGAAAAACAAAACAAATAATGTAAAAAACCAACAAAACAAGGGCTGGGGATGGTAGCTCAGTGGTACAGTGCTTGCTTGGCATCTGTGAGGCACTGGGTTTGATCCCCAGACCACAAATAATACAGCAATAATAGTAACAACAACAACAAAGAAAAAAACATCTCAACCAGCAAAAATGTTATGAATGTCATTCCAGAGTTCTCTTAAGGATAAAGATAAAGTGTTTGGCTGATTGGATAGAAAAATTTTATAAAAATGGGATCATAATTATAGATTTCCTTATATTTAATTTAACAAAACAAGAAACAAATGAAACAGGAGCAGTTAATGAACTTTGGATAAATATTTGTTTACCACAAAAGAATTTATTAAAGATTGAAAAGAAAAAAAGATAAAACTTTAAAGATGTTACTTATTTTTCAAACACATTAAGAGTTTTTTATGAAAGAAGAGGAAATTAACGCACATCTACCTCTCTTCCTTCCCTTTGTTAAGATACAGTGCTGTCATTTTGATTTCAAGATTTAGAACATATATATTCTTGTTATTCCCACAGCTGTTTACCTTAATTTTTTTGGTACCGGTGATCGAACTCAGGACCTTGTACTTGTGAGGCAGGTGGCGGAACCACTGAGCTAAATCCCCAGCCCACTTTAATTTATTTTAAATGGATTAAATTCTCATCTCTAATTATTTTCCATGTTTTTGTGAACTCGGAACTATTCATTTTATTTCTTGGTTGGGTGAATTTTTTTGTTCAGTAATTTCTTTTTACATGCTTGAGAATATTTGTGATAATGATGTAAAATTTTTGATTCATATTCTCTTTCCCTGGAAACTGCAGAATTTGTCCTGTGGCCCTTGGTATTAAGAATCACTGCAGGTCTGAGTCTGAGGTTCAGTAGGGTTTTCCCCATACCTTCTGGCTTGCTTTTTTTTGCTTGAATGCCTGTTAATATTGCTTTTTCATCAGGATATGTCTTGGTGTTGCTTGTGCTGTCATAGTATTTCCTAAAGGTGGAAAATTCTTATCTTTAGATTCAAATCTAAGTCAGGCAAGTTTTCTTCTGTTATTATCTTGGCATACCTTTCTATTCCAGTTTTATTCTCTTTTGTAAGCATCAACTAAGTGCACATTAGATTATTGATAACTACCTCTGGCTGGAATCATTTGCTTCTCTCCAGGTTTGTGTGTGTGTGTGTGTGTGTGTGTGTGTGTGTGTGTGTGTGTGTATGTGATTTCTTCAAGCCTATCCACAATGTTCATGAATCTCACAGTCACTTTGAATTCCTTCTTTCCTCCCTCCTCTCTTCCTTCCATCCCTCCCTTCTTTCTCCTGCTTCTCTCTTTCTCTGGCTTGCTCTTGCCCTCCCTTTCCCTGCCCTTCCCCCCGCCCCCCTTTTCATTTTTCCTTCCCTCTCTCTGTCTGTCTTTTCCTTCTTTCCTTTGCAGTGCTGGGTATCAAATCTGGGGTTTTGAGCATGCTAGGCAAATGCTCTACTGCTGTACTATTCCCCCCTGCCCCTTTTTGTCCTTTTTGTCCAGTAGGCAGAGAAGCAAATAGAATGAAAGAAGATACTAGATTATATTACAGGTTTTAAAAGCTGATAATGCTACAAACATGAAAAATATCCATAAAAATAACATGATTTTTAAAAATTATCAGTTATCTGTCTTGTTAGACAGTTTTCTGTAAATTCTTTTCCCACAATTTTTGGGGGCATTCCATTGATGGCCTCCTTATAGGACAGTGGTTGTCTGTTATTTTCCTAGGAGAGAATAGAGCAACAATTTAGTCTTTCTTATAGCATGGTTGATTCACATTTGCTTTTTATTATTGACACAGTGGGAAAGTTGTTTAGTTTGTAACTTGTTTGTAACATTGTGTAAATTTGGGGAATTCTCAAATTTGGGAAAACCTCTCTAGTTTCTTTCATGTGCAAGTGGTGAGATCTGTAGTACTTCCCCAGACTGGCTTCTGGCCTGCTCATTGATCATCTTGTTCCTCCTTGATGCTTCTTTGTATCTATTCCTTAAGCTCTTTTTAGCTTCAACTTGTGATTTCTTTGAAACTCAATTTCTGTGGCTGAACGCTTTGGGTAATACTTTTAAATTTTCATTTTAAACTTTTTTGCTCATATTCCTCCTTTTGTTTCTTCCTTTTTGGTCAAATTTTCTATGCTGGGGTCTTTGTTAAGTTGTGATAATTACTCATCTCTGAAGGAGGCCACTGGCTGCCACAGAGCTGTGAGACTAGTAGTATGGATGGGGCGTGCCCTCTCTCTAATGCTCGTTCTTGTTTTGGGGTAGGGGTAGGGATAAGGATAAGGATCTGGCGATGCACTCCTTGGTGATTTGAGAAGACTTGTGGCTCAGGACAAAATTCTTAGGGTTCTCTGATTGGGGATTTGATACTTGTGTTCTGCCTGCCTTTTCCACCTGTTTCTTCACTGCTTTTTCCTGTAATTCTTCACTATCAATGTGGACCTCCTCTGTGACATTTCTTATATCACCTGGGGCTGAACTCTGTCACTTCTTCCAATAGGATTATTGGCTTTGCCTTTTAGAGGTGACATTGACATTAAGGAAGTCAGCAGTCTGTGGTTGTGAGGTGGCCTGGGCCTCCTTCCTTCTAGATTTAGAGCTCGCAGTGGCAGTTGTGCTTTCTAGTTTACTATCTGGGCTTGAGGCTGTCCTTTCATTAAAGATGGAGGCTTTTGTTATTGTTTTAATTCTTTTGTTGCTTTTTATTACTTTTGAGATAGGAAAGATGGGGGAAGATACCTTTGTTCTATCATCTTTACCTGGACAAGAAATTAATTCTATTTCCTCAAGTAGTTTTTGCTCTGTAGAGTTTAATTATTGTGTAATCCTTTTCTGCAAAATCTATTATCTTAAGGTCTTTCAGTTAGGAATGATTGATAAACATTTTACAAAGAGTATGTATGTGTGAGAGGGAGTAAAAAAAGTGATAACAATTTGGAAACATACTGCAATGACAGATTTAAACTTTTATGACTCAGTTGGTTAAAAATTAGAGCATTTCCCCCATTTGTGGTTTGGAATCCAGGCTCTTCAACAGTGTGCATTTTAGCCCCAAATCTGTAGCTGTGGATAACTTCTATGCAACCACAAGTTTTCTCTTGTAAGAACAAAGAATGTATAAATCAACCGTGTAGTATTAATAGGGCTTGTCACATTTGAAATGTTAACTCAAAAAGTACTTTATGTGCAGACTGAAATCTGAAAACAATTATATAGCCTGAGAATGGATTGCATAAGCAGGGCTTGATCTCCAGGAGAGGCTGTAGTAATGAATGTGCTTAACTGGCCTCACACAGTCCAGGTTTTAGTTCTGGAACAGGCACTCCTCCACCTGAGACTCAGAGCAAGCTGTGTGCCAGTCTTCTTTCAGATTCCTTACTTGTAGATATGAAGGGATCCTGCCTACATCCCAGGCTGGATGCTCAGAATCTAGTACTTGCCATGTTGTAGGTATTCTGTGATTGGCTTTCTTTTTCATTTTACCTTCTCCCCCTGTATATATTTGGTCTGTCAAGAAGATAATATGTATTCACTCTAGTTGATGAAGTTATTGGGAGTATATTGTAAATGAGATAAAAATCTAATAAAAATCCAGTAAAACATATCCCTGTGTGATTACAATTGTTGAAATTAAAAGTTTGAAAATAAAAACATTTTCAATGCACATGTATACAAATAATGAAATAACAAGAATAAACAAGTTTGGCTTTTACTTTTAGACACATGAAATGATTATATTTAAGTGAAGAGGATCAGTTCATTTGTTTTTATTCTTACAGTCCTTTTTTCCTCAGTCTCCTAGTATCTCTTTGTACACATTTTCTATTTGTACCATCTTCCAAGATTTATAGTATACCACTGTGTAGGGTAAACTCAGACCAATAACAAAACTGTCCTGGGAAATGCTGTTTATGAAGAAAAACACCCTCCAGAGGTAGAGCTGTGTAGAATGAATTTCTGGTTTCATAAGTTTTTGAAAGAGTACGTGGTACAGGTCAGCTGTTCAATGATGGATTCTGTTTTGGCTCTCCAGAGCTGTAGTTTCAAGTCACTGTGTAGAGCCACATCTGATCCTCATCTGCTCTGCAGTTTCTTCAACAATGATGAGCAGATAACAGAGTGTGCTTGCCTGGGAGGACCGAGTGCAGGGAGTCTCTGTGCTCTGAGCCAGGGGCTGCTGGTGCATGGCTCTGTCAGTAAGCTGTGCCTCAGGACACCTCCTGTGGCAACCATTTTCCAAACTAGGACTCAGGAACCACTGAGGGCTCAGGGTTGCCTTCTCTCTGAAGCAGGGCACCAGAATGCTTTCCTCACTTGGGTTGGTGTAGTGTGCTGATGCTCTGGGTTGTATTCTTTTTTTAAAATTATTATTCATTAAGTTTATAAGTTCATTTTAGGTGTACATTATGATCACATTCATCATTGGGAATTTGTACCTGTACATGATATATCTTGGTTCTTATTTTTTCCCATTCCCCTTCCTTCCCCTTAATCCCTCCACCCCTCCTTATTTACAAAAGCTTTGTTTCTGTTTTTTCCTTCTTTTCTCATTTTTTTCTTTCCTTTCTTTTCTTTCTCCCACCCTCTTACTAGTTCCCCTTCCCCTTTGAACATTTTCTTCCTATTTCACAATATCTGTTATACATTTTGGTCCTCATTTACACTTCTAGCTTGTCGCACCAGAGAAACAATTTGGGTTGTTGAAATTGAAAAGGTAATTAAAAACTTACCAACAAAGAAAAGCCCAGGTCCCAATGGCTTCACTGCTACATTCTATAAGAAATTTAGAGAAGACCTAATGCAGCTACTTCTCAAACTCTTTAATGAAATTGAAAGGGAAGCAATACTCTCAAGTTCATTCCTGGAAGCAAGCATTGCCCTAATTCCAAAAGCAGAGAAGGATCCAACCCAATCTTGTAATTTCACCCTTTTCATTCCTGATTGCATGGATTTGAACCTTTTCTTTCCTTTTTTTGATCGTTCTTAGTCTCCATTACATTCATTTCTGCTCTAATCTTTATAATTTTCTGTATAATTTTTTCCCTTGTACGAGCTTTGGGTTTGTCTTGCTCTTCTTTTTCTAGGAGCTTGAAGTTCAACCTTAGGTTTATTTGAATTGCCTCTGTTTTCCTAATACGGGCATTCACTGCTATGAATTTCCCTTATAAGACTCCTTTCATTGTGTCTCATAAATTCTGGTATGTTGTATTGGGATTATTGTTTAATTAACTTATTTCTTCTTTAATTTCATCTGTGACCCATTCAGGAGGCTGTTTTTAAATTTCCATGTATTTATGAAGTTCTTGTGGTTTCTTTTGCTGTTGATCTCTAATTTCATTGCACTATGGTCTGATAATATGCATGGGATAACTTCAGTTTCTTTGCATTTATTTAAGCATGTTCTGTGAACTAGCATGTGGTCTATTTTGGAGAACATCCTGTGTGCAGCTGAGAAGAATGTATTTCTGATGTTGTGGGGTGGAACACTCTGTAGACATCTATTAAGTCCATTTGTTCAAAAGTTTGATTCAGTTCTAGTATTTCATTGTTGATTTTTTTGTCTAGTTGATCTGTCTATTTGTGATAGTGGGGTATTGAGGTCCCCCACTATAATTGTATTAGTGCTTATTTGATTTTTCATGTCTGTTAATATTTGTTTTATTTAGCTGGGTGCACTAGTATTTGGTGCATGTATTGTTTATAATTGTCAATTCTTCCTCTTGGATTGTTCCCTTTACAAGTGACCTTGTTTGTCTCTCTTAGTCTTGGCTTGAAATCCACTTTGTCTGCAAATAGAATACCTATCCCTGCTTTCCCCTGCTTTTTTCCAGGTTCCTGTCCCATAGAGTATTGTTCTCCATCCTTTGATTTTCAGTGTATGAATTTCTTTTTTAATTAAGTGTGTTTCTTGTATGTAGCATATTGTTGGATCTTACTTCTTGATCCATTCTGCCAGTCTATTTTTTTTTGGTTGGCTAATTGAGACCATTAACATTTATGGCTATAACTGATATCTATTGAGTTATCCTTGTCATGATATTTTCCTGTTGTTGGGTCGCTCTTTTTAAAAAATTTTCCCATTTAATTTCTTGCCTTGCCTGATGAATTCATTCTGTTGAGATTAATGGAGTTGTAATCCTCATTGTCTCTTTCTAGGATATCCTTTAGAATATTTTGAAGGATATTAGAATATCCTTTTGAATATTTTAATATTCATTAAGTTCATCAGGTGTTCTTTGTCATAGAAGTATCTTATTTCTTCATCAGTTTTGAAAGAGTTTTGCAGGATACATCAATCTGGGTTGGAGATTGTTTCCTTTTAGGCCTTGAAATATTTCACTCCAGGCTCTCCTTGACTTGAGGGTTTGTGTTGAGAAGTCTGCTGTGATTCTGATGGGCTTTCCTTTGTATGTGATTTGTTTCTTTTCTCTTAACAGCTTTTAATATTTTGTTCTTATGTTGGATTTCTGGAATCTTGACTATTATATGACTATTATCTAATGTGACCTTTAGATTTTTCATAGTATGTGCTCTGTGCAGTAATTTATATGTCTCTATTTTTAGCATGATCTTTCTTCCCTAAGGTTGCAGGAAGAGTAGCTGAAGAAAGGGGTGCAGTACTGGGCCATGAGGTGGGCTACTGCATCCGATTTGATGACTGTACTGACCCGTTGGCTACAAGGATTAAGGTGAGGTGTGCAAGCTGCTTTTTGTAGTATGAATATGGATGAAGGTTATTTTGGGGGAAATTAAAAGCATGCTACCTTCACATACTGAGGCTGTGGTGAAAGTATAGGAAATCATACTGTCCCTCAGTGACTTTAGCCTACTGGGAAGTACAGAGATCTTGCATAGAGTCCCTGAATGTTAGCCTAGAACTGAACTTGAAAGTAAGATTTAGCCTTTGGCTTACATTATGAAGAGGTTGAGGGCCTTGGAGGTTGAAGGAATTACTTTGCTTACATTTATTCTCCCATTGGTGATAGTACCAGGACTCGAAGTTGTCCTGCTTATGTGTGTTGTATTTTTTTCTACTGACTAACCTAACTATCTAAATATAGAAGTGAGCCTGTAAAAGACTTAAGAACAGGGACAAAGTGGCATAAATGGATACAGTGTAGAATTCATAAATGATATTTTCACTAGTTAGAACTTTCCCTATTTTTGCCTGATAATGGATTTTATCTGTGTGTTATTTGCTCTAATTGCTAAGATTAAAATAATAAGTGTCACTAGTAATCAATGTATAATCAACTCAACAGGGTGTCTTATTTACTGCAGTACTGGAATCAAAGTCTAATGAGCTAGTGCAATAAAACAATAAATGAAGTGCTCTGATGAGATGAAGGTTGGTTATTAAAATCTCAGTTATCTTTCAGTTTACAACAGAGGAAAATTGAAAATAATCAGACCAGCAAAATGAACAATGTAGTGTAAAAGAATTTGTTTTATAAATTTCTGTTTTGTTATGTTTCACATTTGACATGTATTTTGCCAGCTAAAGAGAGTATCTGTCCCTAGCATCAAATATATTTAAACAAGCTAATTTTCAGTGGTTTATATAACCAAATGATTCTTTTTGACTCCTTCCCGAGATGGTTTTGTGTTCTAGTTTTTTTTTTTTTTTTTTGGTACTGGGGATTGAACTTGGGACCTTGCACTTGTGAGGCAGGCGGCGGAACCACTGAGCTAAATCCCCAGCCCTGGTTTTGTGTTCTAATTGGTTATAACTTCAAGCCTCTCTGTTCTTGACTGGTTTATCATTTGTAGCAATTCTCCTTTTGACTTCTGTGCATATGTGTGGCAGCTGGCACCAAGTCTAAGCAAACTATGGTGGAAATGCATCCTGCTCTTAAAACAAGAAAAGTAAAAATACTAAGAGCCAGCATAGAAAGGATGGTTAGCCTTATTAACATACTGAATTTGTTTTGGGGTGATAGGAAGAACTTCCAGTTGTTACTGCATTTTTCAGAGACATTTAATAAACATTCATTATTCCTAAATAATAACTGACATACCTTGAACACTCTTTGTGTGCTAGGTCCTGTGCTAAATACTTTATATATGCTATCTCACTTAATTCTCATGATAACCTTGTGATTTAGATACTTTTATTACCTCACCTTACAGGTGAGGAGTCAGACTCAGAGAGGATAAGAACTTGCCTACTTTTCACACAGCAAATAAGAGGTAGAGCAGGGCCATGGTAGAAAGTGTAGGAAATCATGCTGCCCCTCAGGGACTTTAGTCTGCTGGCAAGTACAGAGATCTTGCGTAGAGTCCCTGAATGTTAGCCTAGAACTGAACTTGAAAGTAAGATTTAGCCCTTGGTTTATATTATGAAGAGGTTGAGGACCTGGGAGGTGGAAGGAGTCAGCAGTCTGACTCCATAACCCATGTTCTTAGCCTTGACCTTCTAAGTTCCCTAAAATAGTATCAATGAAAGTCTAGGTTAACTTCAAGAGCCGCAGTGTTAAGTCTCTGGGATGGTTAAAGAACGATGATCTCAAATATTCCCTGGGGTTGACACAGGCTTGTCTCCATTGTCTGTTCATCATTAGTACCAGAGGTTCAGCTCAGAGGAATTGGGACTTAGTTGATATTCATAAAATAAATGTTGATGAGGATCAAACTCCAGTCCTTGTGCTTGCGAGGCAGGCACGGCACCACTGAGCTAAATCCCTGGCCCTGAAATAATTTATTTTTGTGTGTATGAACAATTTCATATCTTGGTAACAAAAGTATTGGGACATTTCCTCACAGTCTTTTGTGGAAATTGTTTTGCACATGTGTTGGTGAAGAGGTTATACTTCAACTTTACAAAGAGTTCCCCTTGAACTTAAAAATATTAATATATAATTAAATGAATTATTTCTAAAACTTTGTATTTTATTTTTTAGTTTCTTACTGATGGAATGCTGGTCAGGGAAATGATGGTTGATCCATTGTTAACAAAATACAGGTAAGTGTGTTTTTTGTTAACTCACCTGAAGTTTCCAAAGTCCACAAATAGATTTAGAAGCAGTTGTGTTGCTAGCTGAGATTCATATCTCTGCACAGCTGGCTCAGAACTTTTCTGTTGACCATGGCTGTTTCAACCCTTGATGTTTGTGTCAGAATTTAGATAGCATGGTCCCTGCAGACAGCTAACAGTGAACAAATGTGAATAAATGAAAATCCTTGTCATTATTTAAGCAGCCTTTTGTCTTACCTCGGTGCCATTCCAGGATAGATAGTAACTGCAGAGTCATAGTATAGCAGAGAACTAACTGGGCATTGTTTTGCTGAATGTAATGTCCAAAGTCCAAATAATTATTTCTTACTTTCTCCCTCTCTGTGAGTCTTTGTCCATCACACCCAACATTAAGGTTGCACCTCAGATCTGTAGTATTCTGGAAGAGGATGTCCCATTTGACTCCCTGGTACATGTGACCAACCTGACCCTTTGACTGTTTCTATAGAATAACAATCTTAAGGTAGTTGGGCTTTGTTATGGTGTTTATGTGTTCTGTGGGGTTATGGACTATATTGCTAGTGAAAATCAACTATTAAATCCTATTAGAATCCAGTATGGGTGGTGAAGCGCTTTAAAGATAGCAATAATTCACCTTTTTTTAAACCAAGATATGTTGATATCACCATTTTTATTTGCCTAAGAATTACCTCACCGTTAAAGGAGAGTGACTAGCTTTCCTTTCGATTTGAGGTGATTGTATGAGAGCTTGGTACTCAGGTGCCTTTGGTGAATGGTACTACGTGGGGTGGTTGTTGTGGTGCTCACAGGCAGTGTCCCTCTCATTCTTAGTGTCATCATGTTGGACGAAGCCCATGAGAGGACCTTGTACACTGACATTGCCATTGGCTTGCTCAAGAAGGTATGACTGTACTGCCAGAGGTGTTCTTTTGGGGGTTGTTTTTGTTGTTGTTGTTGTTGTTGTTTTTGGTTTTGTTTTTTTTTAGTATCAGGGTCTCACTATGTAGTTCAGGCTGGCCTTGAATTCAGGGTGATCCTCTTGCCTCTGCCTCCCAGGTGCTGGGATTACAGATGTGCACCACCACGTCCAGCCAGAGTTTTGTATTTGTGTCTTTGTTTTGTTTGATTCAGCAAGTAACTAGCAGTTTGGAAAATCCTACAAGGTACTAAGGGAAAAAAAAGTCATCCATTATCTTACCCATTCAGAAATAAAATCACTCTTAGAACACTGATGTGTTCTTTTCTGTGTGTACATGCATCTATTTTGGCCCAGTGAGTATTGGATTGTATGTGGTAATTTGTATTTTGTATATTTCTTTTAACATTACATCAAGATAATTTCTCTGTGTCATTAAATATTCTTTGAAGACATTTTTTTTGGGGAAGGGCGTACCAGGGATCGAACTCAGGACCTTTTGTTTGCAAGGCAGGTGCCGGAACCACTGAGCTAAATCCCTGGCCCTTGAAGACATTATTTTTTATGGCTGCATAATCACTTGTCTCTGCCATAATGTATTTAGTTCTTCTACTGTTAGGCATTTATATGGCTTTCACATTTTAAATACTGCAAGTGCTTTTGTAGTGAGCACCTATAATTAAGTATGTTGTGTTTTTGTCTCTTTTCTTTTCTCTTTTTATAGTTTTTCTTAAGGTTTCAAACATACCCCAGAATGGAGAGAAGATTATAATGAACTCAGTGCCCATTATCTGGCTGCCCCAATTACAGCTCATGGCTAATTATGTTTTTTGTTGTTGTTGTTTTGCTTTTTTGGTACAGGGGATCGAACTCAGGTCCTTGCACTTGCGCAGCAGGTGGCAAAACCACTAAGCTAAATCCCCGGGCCCATGGCTAATTATGTTTAATCCTTACCTCTACACTCCCTATCCCTATTCCTGATTGTTGTCTTTGGACAAATTCCCAGTGACAGGAAGGTAGAAAGAAGTGGTATTACCAGAGCAATCAAGATCACAGGTCCTGGATCACATGGCCTGGATACAAATTCTTTCTCTGCTGATTTTACCTATCTTCAACCTGGGGTTAAGAGTCTCTATCACTGTGCTAGTACACTTTGCTATATAGGAGCCGCTGTCCATGTGTGACTATTTATGTTTAATTTTTTTTTTTTTTTTGTGAAGATGCTTATTTTTTCTGCTATTTTGTGGATGGAAAAGTTTTCTGGTGCCCTCTTGAGTTATTGCCTCTAATTTATTATTTCCAGAAACATATGATTTAATTTCTACTTATTATAATAGTAAAACAAAAAACTACAAAAAGCCAAAACTAACAAGAACTTGAAAAGTATCTCCATATCGCCTCCAGATGTTGTCATATTCCTATTCTCCCCCTCTGTGATTCTCTTGCTTTGCTTCATTTTGTTCCTTAGTTTGGCAAATGCAAGACTAAGGCTTGAAGCACCACCCTCAACCCCATCCTCCAGGTGTTTCTTAAGCATCCGCATATTGGGGAAGACCTGGTTGCAGCCCATGCACCTAAAGCCACTATACAGGTCCTCCAGCCCCGAATCCTGGGCCAGATTCTCAGGTGGCTTCTCAGCCTCTTCCCTTCCCTCTTGGCCTTCCCTGTGCAGGCCATTTTCACTGTCAGTTGGGACGTCTCTTAGGCACATATAAGAGAGGCTGGCTTTTGAAGGGATCTTCTCAGGAAATGTAATTTTTGCTATTCTTGTCATCTTTGCGGGGGCCCCAGATCTTTTTCTGTATCCCCCAAGGTAGCCATACCCCTTTTCATTGGGACAGGCTTATAGTAAACATTCATGACTGTTTTCTTTTCAGTAGATGTTGCAGACTCTGAGGGGTTATTAGCCAAGGAGGAAGGTAAATGGGAATGTTCCATGAAGGAGAAATTCTCCCTCTCCATCAAATCTTGATTTAAAAGCCTCTTGGAGGATCCAGGACCATCCTGGTCCATAGGAATGCACTTGCTTGAAGAAAGGATGCAGGGCAAATGTTCTGAGACTGAGAAATTCTCTCTTGCATCCAGATTTGAACTTGGGACCATCTCATGTGTCTCAGCGGCATCCTCTGGAGAGTTGTGCAGTTCTCTATCCAAGAATTTGTCTTCATAGGAGAAGTCCCCTGAGGTTGAGGAAGAACTGTCCGCCACTTTGTGGCATTGAGTTTGGGCCAGTACCTTGGCTCTACTCTGCGGAACATCTTGTAAATCCAACTTTCCTCTTATACTCCTTGCCTTCTTCACAGGTCGTTTTAAGAGTTTCTGCTGGTGTTTTTTCTTCTCTTTATGTTTCATGGTTCAACTCTTTGCAGAATTGCTGATATCAAGTAAGAGTCTGAGACTGTTCTTAGAGAATTACTAGTAATGATAAGAAATTAAATGTATACACCAAAAAAAAAAGCAAATAAGAAACTATCTGTTCACCAGATCACTGTCCTTCATAACGCTCAGTATGATACCCTGGTTGGTATGATACCGGTTATCACTAAGGCCTCAGCAGGGTTCTTTGACCTATTGATGACATCCATGGTGTTCCAGGACCCCACCAGTATTCACAGCACTGCAGGATTGCTTAATCTGTTGCCTATGTTCATCTGTCACTGACTTGAACTTTCATACCCAAAGTGTAATAGATGATATTGATTAAACAAAGGAAATCCTCTGATGTGTCTAGGGCCACTGTACTTCTGAATCTTCCCAACCCCAAGGATATGGCAGGACTAGAGAGGATTAGGCTTAGAACCATGCTTTTATCATTGAAATTAGTAAATATTACATCATAGTATTACTATTTAAGTTATGTGGAAATACACGTCAGATACATATTATAATAGAGGTGCATATTTGAGAGTACCTCATAAATCCAAACAACTCCAGCACTTAATAAATTTCTCCTGCTACTGTGTACATTCTCATGTGTCTTCCCAATCCAGCCTGTCTCCTTTGCCACTTTTCTTCATCACTTCCCTGATAGATGGGAGAGACTCAGTTTTGACTACACCAAACCTGGTCTTCATCAGGAATTCTATTCTTGTGGCTGGCAGTCTCATTCTCCATGATTTTGTGCCAGCCCCCAGTCTGTCTTTTGGAATATCTGTGTCCTGTAGAGTTTGAATTCTGAAACAGCATTATTTTACCTTCCATTGTGTGTAGAACATACGGCATCTTTTAAGGTCAAACTGTTTCCTCTCTAGTAATTACCATGAGTCCCAGGCAGTGGCTTATCCTTCTTCAGCCTCCTTTACCCTATCAGTTCTCTCTGTGGTTGTTATCATTTTCCAGGGGCAGAGGTTTCTAGGGTTCAGAACCTGCATGCAGTCCTCATCTATTCTTCACTTTCTTCAAGGAGTATCACTCTAACCTCTGCTTATACTGTCACATCTCCAGTCTGTCCCCCAGATAGTCCAGGATAATCTTTCACTTTCACACATTCTTTGGTTAATATACAAAGTAGCATATCCATATGTTTCTGCAAGTAGGAGATTGACATTTTGTGGAGTGATGCGAAGAAAGGGTGCATTTCTTGGCCTAGCCTACCAAGATAAAGTCAGAGAGAATCACAGATTCTATAGTAAAATATAGTAGTATAAGAATAGAAAGCAAAAAGTGAATAAAAAAGGAAAAATGACACAGCTACAATGAAACATTGAATTAAAGTAGAATGAAATAAACAAAACCTTTACTTTGAAATTAAACATTAACCAAGGGGCAGAACAATTACACGTGACTATTTAATGCTATAAAACCTTGACAACAGCTGGGCATGGTGGTTCACGCCTGTAACCCCAGGACTCAGGAGGCTGAGGCAGGAGGGTGGTTGAGAGATTGAGGTCAGCCTGGACTATGGTTGGTTCATGGCCAGCCTGGACTACAGAATGTGACCCTGTCTCAAAAAACCAAGAAGACAGGAGAGAAATAAAACTTTGGCAGTTACAGTCAGTAAACACGAATTCCAAGACAGAGATGATAAGGCAATGTAAAGAAATAAATATGAAAAATTCAGAGCTCTGAAAACTAAAGTGCTAAAATATTGACAGTAGGTTTGTCATAAATGGCTTTTATCAGTTTGAGGTAAAGAACTTTGTATACATATTTTTATCAAAGTTTTTTTTTATCACAAAGGGATGTTTGGATTTTGTCAGAGGCCTTTTCTGCACCTATTGAAGTGATTATGTGACTTTTGCCCTTCTGTTTATGTGGTATTTTACATTTGTTGATTTACATATGTTGAGTGATCTTTTTAATGATTTGTTGTATTTTGTTTTCAAGTATCTTTGTGAGGCCAGGGATTTATCTCAGTGGCACTGTGCCTGCCTCCCAAGCACAAGGTCCTGAGTTCGATCCCTGGCACCAAAAAACAAAACAAAACATGTAGCTACAAGTATCATTGTGATGATTTTCACAGCTACGTTCATTAATGATATTAGCCTGTAATCTTCTGTTTTGGTGTCACAGAAATGTTAGATTTAAGAAATGATATTGGCAATGTTCTTTTCCTTTCAATCTCATGGAAGAGTTTGAATATTGGCAGTAGATCTTCCTGGAAGTCAAGATAAAATCCTGGGTTTTAGTTAATTGGGATGAATTTTATTACTACCTCAATTTTATCACCTTTTAATTGTTTGTTCAGGATTTTTCCATCTTCTTGGTTAAGTTTTTGTAATTATGTGTGCAGTAATTTATCCAATTCGTCTAGATTCTCTAAGGTATTGGAATATTTGATTTCAAAAAGTTTCTTATAATCCTCTGGATTTCTGCAATGCCTATGGTAAATTTATCTTTTTCATTTTTAATTGGATTGATGTAAATCTTTTCTTTCTACTTATGGTAAGTTAGACTAAATACTTACTAATCGTGTTTACCATTTAAAAGTGTCAGCTGTGATTCATTCGTCCTTTTTACTGGTTTTCCTTTTGTATGTCTCAATTTCATTAATTCCTGCTCTGATCTTTATAATGTATTTCCTTCTCCAATTTTGGATTTGGATTACTGTTCATTTTTTAGGACTTTCAGATGCTCTTTATGTTATTATGTACTGCTCTTTTTTTAATGTGGGCATTCACAGTTTAAACTTTCTTCTTAGAAGATTTTTTGTTGTGCCCCATAGGTTTTGGTATATTGTGTTTCCATTGTAATTTTTTTTTTTTTTTTTGCTACCGGGGATCTTACTTGGGTCCTTGCGCTTGGGCAGCAGGCGACCAAACCACTGAGCTAAATCCCGCCCCTTCCATTGTAATTTGATTCTAGGAACCTTTAAACTTCAGATTTGTTCCTTGATTGATTATTCAACAGTGTATTAATGCCAGAGACTCCTGCAGCAAGTCTTCAGTCCCTATCTGCCCAGTGTGCAATGCAAGGTTGAAGAAAAACTTTGACCAGAGTTAAAGAGAAAGTGTGAACTGGGATGTCCAATGCTCCTTTGGCAAAAGGCACTGGCCCATCTCTTCCACCTAATTTTATTATCCATCAGTCAGGGTAAAGGTGCATGTATGGATGCGCAGTACATGAAATTACCATGAAAACTAATGCAGGGAAGACTTTAAAGAGAAGTCAGAGCTTTTCCAAATTATAAGCAAGATAGACAAAATATATTGTTATAGTTAGAGCATTGTCCTTTCAGCTATGAAGGCACTAATTGTGGGAATGGAATCTGGGTGTGATTATTCTGACCTCAGCTATGGACGTTATCTCATATTAGCCCCACAGATTCATAGGCCATTACTCTGGTCTCAGCTGTGGCCATTAGCGGGGAGGTTGTATTAGCCTGCACGCTACTGCCATGCTCATGAGACACTTCTGTGAGTCATGTAGCTTCAGTCAGACTTGCTTCTTTTTTGTTTGTTTTGGTTTTTTTGGTACTGAGGATGGAACTTGGCACCTTGCGCTTGGGAGGCAGGCGGCGGAACCACTGAGCTAAATCCCCAGCCCCCGGACTTGCTTCTTAAAGTAAGCTAATTGAGAAATTTAACTCTTTGCAGCCCCACTGCTTACAGCATGTTTTGGGCATAATCAATATTGAGGGCCCTGGCATCTCCCCCTTCTGTCTTTAGAGGCTGCATCAGCTGCATCAAAGTGAACTGAAGTTGGAGTGCTTCCAGATGTTAGTTGATTCTTATTCCTTTATAGCAGGAGAAAGGATGATTGCCATTAATGTGGTCAATATATTCTCTGGGTTAAGTGGTAGAGCCTGGCACCCCACTAGATGACAGGCCTCACTCGCAGTACTCTCCAGATCGATCCATCTTATCACTTGAGTAGGATAATTGCTCTTGTCTGGCACCCATGGAGCCCGCTGGCTCCTCAGTCTTGGTGGTAGATGTGGGCAGAGCCTCTGAGCAGACCTCTGCTGATATGTGTCTGTGGGCCTTGGGCTGCAAGGGGAGTTGCTTAGACTCAGCCTCTGCATGGCTCTCAGTGGGGGTGCCATGTGGTGCTGTTGTCTGGGGACCCATCTCGATCCATGGGTGCATGCTCCAGGATGGCAGCCCCAGCATTTCTCCATCATCCAAAGTTGAGTTCACATACTCCCAATCTATTCATTTCCTCTTTAGAATTACCACAGATGGGAAGTTAATGGATTTGACTATCCCTCAATGCATTTTTCAAGATAAGTCCCATTCAACATATTCTTGGAGATAAGGATTGCTTTTCTTTCAAGGAAGGATCCATAAGGGAGATCAAGTCTCAGCTGATGATCACTGTTATTTCGTAAAGCGTTTCACACTATCATTTTCCAGAGTAGAAAGGATGAAGAATGCTGTACTGGCTGAGGAGCTGCTTCAAGAACTGAGCTGATTGAAAAGCGCTGTCTCATCCATGGCCAAATCCCTTTTCTGGAGTGTCTGACATCCAATGAGTAATGCCTATATATGTTTAATTAATCAAGAGGGTAGAATAAAAATTTAAAAATTCAGCTCCACTTTCACATTGGCTTTTTTTAGGGTCTTTGTAGCCTTATGTGGTGAGTGGTTATCATCATTGAGGAGAGTTTCTGTTCGAACAGAGCTGCCCTGCATTGTAATTTGTTATGAGGCTTAGATAATGTAAAACTCTTAGGATTCCATCACAACTAGATCATGAGATGTTTTTGTGCAAATAAGAAAAAGACACCCGTGCTGGGAGGATGTCCACTGCTAAGTCAGGGATTTGGGCTGGATTTCAGATGTTCCTGGCCTCCTCACCCAGGCATCTTTGTGTAGTGCATATGCTATATAACTGTACGCAGTGGCTGTGGAGTAGTATATAACTGGGATATTTAGATGCTGGTATTATTGTTATTTGTATTATTGTTTTGTTACTTGGCCAAAGATGAGATTTTTGATACTTATGAGAAATTTTCTTACAAGGTTATTGCCTTCTCAGGAACAATCACGAGGGCCTGTTTCATATCTTTGACAGCACTGAATATTTGCCTTGGAAAATAAATCCTTAGGATGTTATTGGTGAAGAATAAATCCTCATTGTTGTTACATGTTTTGCTGAAGTTTGACAATTTCTCCAATGTCTGTTGATTATCTCTTTCTTTGAAAAACTGTTAATGTCTGTATTTCTGTTTTAGTGCTATCATTTAGTTGCTTTTAATGTGCTTTTTTTCTGTACACAGAAGCACTTTATTTTACCCTTGGTTTTTGCTTTAATTCATTACTTTAAAAAATATTTCTGTCATTATGTGTGTGGATCACACTAAATTTTACAAGCAGGTTATCTTTAGAAACCATTTTGATTTTTTTTGATATTAAAAAATTTCTTTTATTGGTACGTGTTTGCAGTAAATAATGATTACATTCCATATGGGGAGTTTGGTACATGTACATAAGACATCTTAATTCTTTTTTCATCTTCCCTCCCTCCATCTCTTGAGCACCTTCCAATCTATCAAAAGATCTATCACCCTGATTTCTATTATCTTTTATTTTGTTCTTTATTTATATTTTGGGTTTTTCATATAAGAGAAACCATGCAATATTTAAGCTTATGTGTTTGATTTATTTCATTTAACATTATGGTCTCAAGGTACATCCATTTTCCTACAGATGACCCAAGTTTATCCTTCTTTATGGCAGAGAAGTACTTCACTGTGTGTAAATACCACACTTTCTTTATCCATTCATCTATTAATGGACATATAGGCTGCTTAAGATTTAGCTATTATAAATTGTGATGCTATAAGCATAGGTATGCATATATCATTGAAATATGATATCTTAACTCTTGAAAAAATACCTAAAAGGGGATTAGAGGGGTTGAATGGATAATGTATTTTTTTATACTTTTGACCATGTGTGTATACATAGATTCATACTATCCCAAAACTTACTTGTCAGGGAAAAATGGTTTTATTCTCAGTTAATTCAAATTCAGATCTTAAAGCCGATTTAGATTTTGTGTAAAGTTCTTGTTAGCTTTTTAAAATTTTTCTTTAAGACAGGATCTCCAGGCTATCCTTGAACTTTCTTTCTTTCTTTTTTTTTTTTTTGGTTCTGGGGATCGAATTCAGGTCCTTGCGCTTGCGAAGCAGGCGGCGGAACCACTGAGCTAAATCCCCGGCCTGTCTTTGAACTTTGAATCCTCTTCCTCAGTTTCCCAAGTGCTGGGATTATGGGCATGTGCCGCTTGACCCAGCTATGTTAACTTTCATTTTAGAAATTCCATACATTTGCAAAATTAGAATATTATGATGATCTCAGTTTTATTTATTATCAGGAGTTATTGATTTGTGGTCATTCTTGGTTCAATTGATAAGGTCCCCCTCCCAGTATAAACACTGGATTATTTTGAAGTAAATTTCAGATATCAAATTATTTCATCTATAAGCGTTATAGCATTATCATTGTTTCCTAATGTCTTCTTTTATAGATTCAAAAAAAGCGGGGAGATCTTCGACTGATTGTGGCTTCAGCTACTCTGGATGCAGAGGTAAAAGCAAAAGCATTTTTATTCCTCCTTTTCCTCTGTGAACATGGAAATTATTGGACATATCTTTGAGAAGTAACCTGTAGCAAGAACTCATCTTTGGCAGAATGGTCTGCCATCCTTCTGGGGCCATCTGCTATCCTAGATTCCACATGATCACAGGATCCTCCTTTTCAACTTGTGGGTGGAAATTAGCCTATAATTAAATAAGTGAGTTCATGATTATGTACTTGTCTTGTTTCTCTACATGCTACTTCTCTCCCCACATAGGCAGTTTCTTTTCATTACCTTTTTTGGCGTGATACTATATTTCTTAAATTTATTTATGATGATAGTATAAATATATTTAGATGTTTTTGTACAAGTGAAGTTTCCCCTGTGCATATAATTATTTCCACGTTAAAATTTATTATAATGTTTACATTATTTTTCTCTCTTGATGACTAATATTTTAGTTCAAACCTTAGTTCAACTCAACAAATATTTTTGACCACTTGTTATTTATATATGCTCAGCATTGTTCTAGCTCCAGGTGATTTGTATGCTTCCATACTCCTGGAGGGAAGCAGGTACACAAATAGATGTTTACTCTTTAATGTGTTTAAGGTGCTAAGGCAGCCAAGGAGAGAGCGCTTAACACCAGCTTACTGGGGGGTCCAGACACTTTCACTAAGCAAGTGACATCCCCGATGGGCTTTTTCTTTTTTTTTTTTCCCACCATTAAGTTTATTGGTACATTTTAGGTATAAAATACATTTACATACATTATTGGGATCTTGTACCGTTACATGAGTATCTTGGTAAAGATTTTTTTTTTTTTATACCGGGGATCGAACTCAGAACCTTGCCCTTGCAAAGCAGGTGCCGGAACCACTGAGCTAAATCCCAGCCCCTGCGATGGGCTTTTTCTGAAAGGTGCACAGTACTTTTCCAGATGGGCAGAGGTGGGAAGGGCTTCCTAAGCATGCTCAGAACCACAGTAGTGAGAAACTGAGTTCAGGGTGCTTCAGGTCTTACCTTGCCTGCCAGGCCTCCAAAGGTGATTTGTCCCCCACCCACGGCTCTGACATCATCTCTTTCCTTTCTCTGCAGTGCTCCCTCCATTCCAGCCGTACTGGTCTCCTTGCTGTTCCACAGAAAGAACCAAGCACATTTCTGTTCTGGAGGTGGAGTAGGGCTTCTTTCTAGACCATTTTCCCCACAGATAGCCTCATGGCTCTCCCATCATTTTATTGCAGCCCTGGTCAGACTGTCTCCTTATTGAAAACTGCCAAATTGCTCTCTATCCTCTTCGGCTGAATTTCTCTGTTTGTGCTTAGCACATCCTAACTTCAGATGCGTTATCCAAGTATTTGTTTGTCTCCTGTCACTAAAATGTAAGCTCTGTGAAGTTTGGGACTTTGTCTTACTGATGTTTTTATCCCTACTCTGTGTCTGGCACTGAGTAGGTACCTGGATTGAATGTATTTTAATTAACCAGGAATATGGAGAGGTCAGCAGGAGTTCTGTGATAGAAGGGCTAATAACCAAAGGAGGGTGGATTCCATTGTGCAGCTGGTTGGGAGCCATGGAGGGCAGTGACTTCATCATATTTGAGTTCTAGAAAGATCATTCTGTGTGTTGTGTAGAAGACTCAATAGTAGATGTGGAGACATTAGTCAGGAGGCCACTTCTGTAATACAGATGAGATGTGAAGAAGGTCTGGCCCCTGGCTTCTCCTCCCTTAGTCTTCCTGCAGCTTCAGGAATGCACTGCAAACAACTTGGATAGATTAGAAGCTCAGCGTAATTAAGAGAGATATCTGCATGTGTACCCAGGCTATTTTCTCAAACTTTTTCACAGCCTGTTGTCTTAGGGCTGGCTGTGAGAGCTTTTGGATTAAAGCTCCTGGTCCTCTCTTTAGTGGTTCTCTTCTCCTTATTCCTGGTGTCTGCTGGAACACTGCTCTGAGGACCATCCTTGACTTCATCTCCAATTCCCTCCTCCATGGCCAAGCTGCACAGACTATCTCTGTTTTACCTCTGATCTTCTTCACCTCCTTCTCTCTCCTTAAAAAACTCTACATTATATTTAAAAATTGCTCCAAGCAGGTTTTGTTGCAGTGAAGACTATAATGTCCAAGTCTTTTCTTAGAACCATTGCTAATTAATATTTACTAATTGCTCACAATTGCTTTTTATTCTCTTTTGGTGAGGCATAGAGATTTAAAACATAGCCTCTTTTCATTTTGATGCAGTTGGTGTCCTGCAAGTGCCTTGGTTTTTGTTTGCTTGTTTTTTTAAACAAACATTCTAGGAAGGCAGAGTGTAGGAGGTTTGTTATACCTCAGTAAGTGGTGCTGCAGGGCATGGTGGGACTTCATTAGCACTCAGCTTGGTCTGTGGGGAGCTAAGTCCTTCATTCCATCCTTACCTGAGAATCAGTGTGTGGGTCTATCCTGGGTGAGGGTGTGGGGTGGATAGGTCCATGTGGGTGTGTTATGTGAGTTCATATGTGAGAGTATGAGGGTGAGGAAGAGAATATGATTGGGCTGAAGAAGGCAAGAGTGAGGAGCACTGTGTAGGAAGGGGGAGGTTATGGTTTAAGCAGCAGTTTCATCTGGAGGCCCATGGGTGCACAGAACCCATCCCTGAACCCAGCTGCTGGTCTGGTGATGATAGGCTAACTCCAAACTTCCTAGAGGGAAAGGGCTACTGTTAGGCCGCCTGCTCTGGTTTCACTCAAGGGCTGGGGTGGCTGTGCCTACAGATGAAGATATCAGTGACTGCAGCCGGGACGTGGAGACAAGCAGGGTATGATGGGGGCTGATCAAATAATTGCCTGGATTGGTTTAGCTGCTCTGTTACTGTAAGCTCAGTGAAGTGAGCAGTTACATCCAAGAGCAGATGTAATTACAGAATATTTCTTGACCATTGTTTCTTATGGAATTGTTTTTCTTTTATTTGCTCTTATCCAGATGGCAGAGAACATGGTTGCTGACAATTCCCACAGTCTTTTGTCACAGGTCCAACTACTAGGAGAGAAACTAATTTCTCTCAGAATCCTGTAGCAGGATCCTGGGGTCATATGGGGTTAGGTTGCCAACCTGGGTCAATCTGGGTAGACCAGAGGGTGCTGACTGAGGGTGGGTGTGATGAGTAGACATGGCTGCTGGGAGCCCCTTTGTTTGGGTCAGGAAGGAGCAGCTACCAGGGCAGGAAACCATGGTGAGGTGGAAGACAGCCCACATCACTTACACTGCAATTCACAGACTGTCCTCTTCCTTTATGTCTTGTGTTTCTTACTGTGTGTCTATGTTGTGACTCCACCTCCTGTGAGCCCCACTCAGACTCTTCTAGGTGTATGGAACAACTCATTTCACTCTTCCATTTTCTTGATTCTGCCTTAAGATTCATGTATTGTTGATACTATATTGTTTGCTTTTATTTTTATTTTACATTTCCAAATAAAGATGAAGGATAAAGATCTTAAATATAAGAATCTTATGCCTTCACAGTATACACTGCATTGTTTTTCATGGAAGAGTAATTGCCTATCTCTGCACATCAGCAGCATGTATTCTTGAGCAGCTGAAGTGTAGCCACCCACTCCAACATCAGCAAGGCATCGCCTCTCTTCCCATTCTCTGTGCCTGGTTGGTAACATGTAGCTCTGTCCATTGAGCCCTTCCTGAAACCTTTCTGCTCTGCCTGCAGCTTGTGGGGTCCTGCTTTCTCCTCTCCCCTGCCTCCTTGATTTCTTCATTCTTAGCTCCTTTTATAGCTGCCCTTCCTCCTTGAAGCTGCCCACCACTGTGACCTCAAGTCAGCTTTGTGCTTGTGGCAGCCTTGACTGCACTCCCGTGTGCTAGCCTTTGCTGTCCAGCTGCTGACTGGTCAGAGACCACCGAAACTCATAGCTGTTGACTCTCGGGTTCTGTCTCAGCCCCTTTCTCATGATCACAGTCATTCAGGCCCAAGACTTCCACCACCACTTTAGGAAGTTTTCATCCCTGATTAAGTAGCAGTTCTATTGTTCTTCTCACACGAACGTGTGTGCACAGGCTCACTGATTGTCAGGGCCTGCCTGTCCTGGCACCTAGCTGTGCCTCTGGAATGCTTTGCCTGAATCCATGCTCTCACCCTCTCCCCTGAACTGTTAATAGTTCCCTTAATTAGTCCACTTGCCCCCAGTTTCTTATTTCTGCCTCTCTCCAGAACAGCACCTGAGTCTGCTGTCCAGAACTAGATCTGGTAATATCGACCCCATCCTTACCGCCCTCCTAGTCTTGCCCATCACAGCATGGCATTTGAGCCCTGTCAGAGTGATACTTGCAGACCCTTACTGAGACCTGTTGTAGGTGAGACCTGTGCTATGGACTCTCAAACATACTGCAGTTGAACCCTGCAACCACCTTGCAGGTGGATAGCAGTTTGTCCATATGTTATATGCAAGAGCTAACTTGAAGGTGGGCAGCCTGCCTTAGATGGTGACCCCCCTCCTGTCAGGGCTGTCTTTGTCTTAGTCCACATCCTGAGCCAGTAGTAACCTTCTTCATCCTTTAGGGCTCAGTCAAGGAAGAGAGCTGCCTCCCTGAAGCCTTCCCTGCAAGCCAGTAGTTAGTGATTATTCATTCTCTCAGACTGTAAATTGCAGCTTTTTTGTGGTCAGATAGGCATTCTTCCTGAGGTAATTTTGTGAAAAGCTTTTTGCATCTCTGTCTTCTCTGAACTGTTTATTTTTTGTTTTGTTTTTGGGGTTTTTTTTGAGACAGGGTCTCTCTCTGTAGTTTAGGCTGGCCTTGAACTCACTATGTAGCCTAGTGGTAATCTTCCTATCTCAGCCTCCAGAGCGCTGGGATTACAGGCGTGTACCACCATCTGCGGCTGGACTGTTTATTTTGGGGAGGTGGGGTGGGATATCTATTTTCATTTGTGCCTATGCTCTGCGTGTTATAGGGCCTTGGGAACACTGAAGTGACTTGAAGGAAACTGACCCAAAGGGAAAGTGAAGGGTGGTGCTGTGTGATGCCCTTTCTTGGCATAAGACACTCAGATGTCTGTGCTTCCTCTTGCTGGACATAACCTTGGTTGAATGTGTAGCTTGCCAGTGTATTGTTAAATCCAATGGACTCTTTTAGAAGTTCTTTCAAGCCTGTTCACTTTGTGCTTGCTGCCATTCACTAGTGTAGCTTCTGGGCATTAGCATTCCTAGAAGCAAGGCTAGACATATTTTTTAAACAGAACATAGGGAAGTAAAAATAAAGCCTTGCTGTTACATAGTCAGACCTTAGGGAAAGTGAAATAGCTGGGGAGTAGAAGGTCATTCAGAATCAAATAACAGAGTACTCCACCAAACTGGATGTCTTGTGTCCTCTCACAGGCTGGCACCAGTAGCGTCCTATCTAGTGTTAAGTTTCTTGTCAGTGTGGTTACTCAGTCACTCAGCTCTTGTCACTGTCAGCTTCCCGCATATCTTGGGGACACTCTCCAGTAGGGGATGTTTAGTGGTGTCTCCTGCTGTCACCAGCCAGAGCTTTCTGGCCTGACCTAGGCTGCAAGCCTGGTGCTCAAGTGCCATTGAGTAGGATGTGACCATCAGTTTGAGAGAAACTGCCACGAGCAACTTCTCCCAACAGGGTACTGTTGGAGTGTCAGGGAAGAATATGGTGGGTGACCTTCCTCTGCAGAGCATTATGTGAACTTCTGTGGGGCATGTAAGATGGAGGGAGCACCTTCTTTCAAATCTTTTGGGAAATTATAGTAAATGTTTATCAGGAACATACCTATTGTTTGCAGAAGTGAAAGTTTTCTTTATAAATTGATAGTCTCATTTGACCAGATCTGTGCCTTCCACATTAGAGGTATACATCCATCTGATTTAACCTGTATTGAACTTGAATCACACGTTGACCTAATCTTCAGTTGAATAAAATAAGTAATACAATTACACGTTTGGGTTTTTTTTTTTTTTTTTTCTTTTGTCTTGTTACTGTTTTTTGTTCTTTAGTTACCGCATTTTTTCTTTTGTCTTGGTACCAGGGATCAAACTCGGATCCTTCCACTTGCAAGGCAGGCACCGGAACCACTGAGCTAAATCCTTGGCCCAATACAATTACACGTTAACTCAGATGCATCACTGAATGTAGTTTTGAAATCTGATCTTTATTATTTTTATCAAACCTTTAGTGGGTCTATCATTGAAATATGTTTCTCCATAATATCAATAAGAAAAATGTAAATTTAAAAAATTTTGTAATGCATAATTGGTATTAAATATATCCAATCCCTATACCTGCCTCTTCTCTGCTAGTTTTATATTTTTCATTGCATGACATACTGTGAACTTTTTTTGTGTGTGAAAGAGAAGTAAATGATTGTTTTTTTTTTCTTTTTCTTTTAGAAATTTCAGGATTTCTTTAATCAAAATGAAACCAGTGACCCAACCAGGGATACATGTGTGATTCTTACAGTGGAGGGGCGAACATTTCCAGTGGATATCTTTTATCTACAAAGGTTTGATGGTGCTTGATTTTTGATGATGGTGATTAGAAACCTAGGGTTGATGTGGAATGACAGAGAAGTGCACCTGCTCGAAGCTCAGGGTGATGAGGAGCACTTTGGTGTCTCCTATCATTGGCAGAATGTTCTGAAACCCTGCTCAACAACGTTGTTGCATTTATTTTAAACTCTTGACACTAGCATGCAAGTTTGCATGAATCTGTGGTCGGTAACTCTGTTGGAAAGAGCAAAGTGGTGAAAGGCTGAAGGGGAGGGGCTTAAAAGTTTGCTGAACTTGGGTTTCCAAGGATGCAAGAAAGCCTGGTTGGTACTTTTCAGAGGAGCCCCTTTGTGGAAGAAAGAGGCTAGTCTAATTCCCGTAGCTAGTCACTGGGTGAACAGAGACCAAGGCCAGGTGCAGTGCCTGGTAAATCCAGAGCTGTGAACCTGACTTCTGAGTTGCCTTAGCTGGGGAGCATGTCTTCTGGCTCTGTTCACCCAACTCATTTGTGTTGCCATGGCCAGGAGGGAAAACGGGCAGGGAAGAGGTGAACCTCAGCACTGGCACCCCAGCCCTAGTTTCCTGGCCTGGCATCTTTGTATGCATAAATAGCACATCTATATATGGGTATGTAATCTTTATTTTATTTTGCAAATATAGCTATAAATCTTAGTAATTATGGATTATTTTTTAATGCTTAATTTTAAAAAAAGAAAAGAATGTTTATTTTCCTTGTGTATGTGCTAATTACCTGCCTGGGCAAGCCTAAACTAACTTTCATGAGGTCTTGCTGCCAGATTGTTAGAGTAATTGACTTCTAATTAATGAGCATATTCTAATGATAAATTTGTCTCATCATCTTTTCAGTCCTGTTCCAGATTATATCAAATCAACTGTGGAAACTGTGGTGAAAATTCACCAGACAGAGGGAGATGGAGACATATTAGCCTTCCTTACTGGCCAGGTAATTCCTCTGGACCTCTGTGATGAACAGACGAGTTACGGCAACAGTTGTTCCTTTGACTTTGGCTAAATATCATCCCAGAGTGGGATGATTAAAGTTCATGAACCTGACCCAAATTAAAATGTTGATCCCAACTTTTATTGTCTCAGAGTGATAAAATGACATGCTTCAGAATTAATAGAGAGTGCTGTTACTTAGACATTTATTTCATATTTGTTGTATTTTGTATGAATTGGATAAAAAAATTGTTGGGTTTGATGTCATTCATCTAACAACTGGATTGTCAGGGAGTCATTAATTCCTCCCTGTTCTGTCTGAAGAGGGTAAACTATATTTTAGATTTATCAGCTGATTCCAAAATAAATTAGATAGTTGAGTCAGTGGGCTATTATTTTGTTTGCTTACATTAAGTAGTACATTAGATGCATTTTGCTGCATGCATATTGCTGTTGCCATAAACCCAGTGTCCCCGTGACATTTTTACAGCTCATTCTGAGGATGGTAAGAGGCCACATTACTGGAAAAACAACCAAATAAGCCCAAGTGCTGCCTCAGGGTTATAATACTGTTCAGAATTAACCTTCTCCAGCTGTAATCTTTTCCACTGCCAAACATTTTCTGTGCTTGGTCTTTTCTGGGGAAAATTTATCGATTTTATTGGCCACAACTTGTCCATGTGCATAAAACGGCTTTGTTTGCTACAGTACATAGAAAACTGAGTAAATTGGTCACTGTAAAAAAAATTTATTGATAGTGCTGTTACCTGCAGATAGTTTAGTTTCAGTAATTAATGTTATAGTTAGAAATTTTCATTCCTTTGGCACAGTTGTTCAGTAGCATCTGATTAAATATTATCCTAGAGTGGGATATCTGATTAAAGTTCATGAATCTGACCCAAATTAAAAACCTGATCCCAACTTTTCTTGTCTCAGTGTGAGAAAATGACATGCTTCAGATTGATCTTTGTTTCTTGGGTTCCTGGTTCAATGTTTAGGAAGAAGTAGAAACTGTTGTGTCTATGCTGATCGAGCAGGCCCGAGCGCTAGCTCGCACTGGGATGAAGAAACACCTCCGGGTGCTCCCTATGTATGCAGGACTGCCTTCGTTTGAGCAAATGAAAGTGTTTGAGAGGGTATCACGCAGTGTGAGGAAGGTAAGACTATCTTGATAACCAAGGGCGTCTCCAGTCATTTATAATCATATTGGTGCCCTTTTGCCATGCACTGAAAAATTTTTTTTTAATTGAAGCTAAGCTTTCTAAATAGGAAATATTTTTCAGAATTTCAGGCCCATGTTTCTGTGTAGTAGATCGTAAAAGCATACCGTAAATAATATGTTGTGAAGATTTCTAAACCTGCCCCAAAGAAGGTGACTTCTCTTTTGCTTCTGTTTCCCATGACATGATACTACCTTGGCTTAAGGGACTGCCTTGGTGGTTTGTGGTCAGTCAGGAACAATAGATAAGCTACTACCAGTGGTTTCTGAATCATTTGTTATGAGTATCAGTTTTGCCCAAAGTAGAGCCGAGTTTAAATCAATTAATTCAAGGTGTGGCTTAAAAATATTTAGCCTTGAAATTGGGGTGGGGAAGGGTGTGGTGGGAAGAAGCATGGTTAGAAGGAGCCATCTGTCAGCTAGCCTGACTCCTGCTCCTTGTCCTCCTAGGGCTTTTCTGTCCTTTTCATTCAGTTAGATTAGGAATGCACAGAGGGTGGCAGAGAATAAAGTAGATGAGAGTTGGACTGAGGAGCCATTCCCAATTTTGGGCCATTTGGAAGAGGGTACCCATGGGCTTGGCCATTGGGATGAAGCAACCTGTGTCTGTATACTCAAACATGAATTGCAGCCAGCCCCTTAGGAGACCTGGATTTCACCCCCGAGTTGCTGTGTGCTCCAGGATAAATTACTTAACCTCAAGTCTTGATTTTTGTAGTTGTAAAACATAAATAGTAATAAATAGTAATAGTAATAGATGGTTTTATAACATAAAACCTTAACTCTCTACTATACAAACATGTTTGGGAGATTTTATGAAATAATTTTATAAAATTTAAAGGACCTGAAAAAAAGTTCTGATATTTATTTATTTATATTTTATATATCCTGTCACTTAAAACCCTCCAGTAGCAGCAGCACCCAGTGTATTTGGAGTAAAATACAAATACTTCCCCAGAGACTGCACATGAGCTGGGCCCCATGCCAGTCCTTAAGCTCGTCTTGTACTTACTTTGTATGATGGCTGCACAGGTGATTTCTTCTTTCTTTGAGCAGTAGCTTCTGCTTAGATCTCTGTAGTTTGACTGCTTGCTGTTACTAAGGTCTCAGCTCAGAGTCCTCTTTCAGAGAGGCTTTTCCTGGTTATCCAATCTAAAGGAGTGCCATTGTTATGTAAATACTGTATATCACATATTACCAGGTTGTATTTTTTTTCCTGGTATTTGTCTCATTTTGAAGTTATCCATTCATTTTCTTTACCATGTTTCCTCTCCGAACACTAACAGTAGAACATAAACTCCAGGAGAGTAGGGCTTCATTTATCTTGTTCATCCTACAAGAACCAAATGCAGACCCTCAGAAAATGTGAAGGAATACATAAATTACCCATACAAGATGAAGGTTTACTTTGGTTGTACAAAAAAAAAACTAACATTGTTGAATACCCTGTACCTGTACTATATTAGGTTTTAATCACTTTGTGTATATATCTTACTTAATTTCCTCAGCAACCTTGGGGAAGATGGTAAATATTCTTATGTAGATGAGGAAAACTGATGGCCAAGAGGTTAAGGAACTTGTTCAAGGTCACAGGATTCTGGAGAATCCCAGCCCAGGCTACCCAACTCTGAAACTTGTACTCTTCATAATACCCTGTTTTAGTTCCTTTCTTGTAGCTGGGACACAATATTCAACATCTGCAACTTAAAGGGGTAGAGGTTTGTTTTGGCTCACAGTTTCAGAAGTTTCAGTCCATGGCTCAAACACAGAAACAGCATGGTAGAAGGGCCTGCTGTAGAGGAAAGCTGCTTACATCATGGTGGCCAGGAACCAGAGAGAGAAAGGAGGACCCAGGGAGGGAGATATACTGTTCCAAGTTATACCCCTAGCAACTTGCCTTTTCCAACCACCACAGGTGATGCATGTGTCCCAGGCATCAGCCAACCAACAAGCAGGACGTGGTAGGCATAGCCCATCTCCTAATAGCACATCAGCTATGAAGGCATCAGTTGATTAATCCACTGATGAGTGTAGCACTCTTTGATCATCTTCCAGAACCCCACCTTGGGACACATGAGGCTTGTGCAGACCATTCTAGAGCTAAACCATAACATGCTAAACTGCCTTGCAGATTCACAGTATTTGAAATATTACATCTTTAGAATTTTTAACTATTTAAAGTGAAAGAATAAAATGATTTTTCTTATTTCTGTGGGTAACATAGGTGATAGTGGCCACCAACGTGGCAGAAACCTCCATTACAATCAGTGGCATTGTGTATGTGATTGACTGTGGCTTCGTGAAGCTGCGCGCCTACAATCCCAGGACAGCTATTGAGTGCTTGGTGGTGGTACCTGTGTCCCAGGCATCAGCCAACCAGCGAGCAGGACGTGGTGGGCGCAACCGCTCGGGAAAGTGCTATCGCCTTTACACAGGTTAGTATGGCTTTCTTTAAGGGTTTTTGACTTTCTCATAGTTAGCCTAGGCATTGGATAATATAGCACATACTTATCCCTTGGGGAGGAACTTAACAGAAAATCCACCCCTCCCTCCAGACCCCTGTGTGATCTCACTCCGCTGTCTTCCTCACTGTACGCACAGCTGGTTTTGCTTATACTCACCACTGGCTAAAGCTGCCCCTGATTTCCCTTGACTGCTGTCCCTGTTCTAACCTAATTTCTGGACCTAGGTTCTTCTGTGGCCAGGTGGCCCTGATGCGTGGGCTTTGTGTCTCAGATTCTTTCTTACCTTTCCCTTAGCTTAATAGGTTGTTTTCTTATTCCGAGATCCCCAAATCCTGTAGGACCTCACACTGGGTTCTGGTCGCTCTCTTCTGAGCTAGAATGAGGATCTGTCCTGAGACTCACTCACAGCAAACAAATAGTTGGCAAACTCCTACTCTGTGCCAAGCACTGTGCTAGGCTCTGAAGGAGCAGAATTAAATCCTGACAAAGACAGTCCAGCCCTTGAGAAGCTTGTTTCCCAGGGTAGAAATAGCCTTAACCACAGATGACATACCCAAAGCTGTCTCCCCGGCTCTTTTTCTATTTTTCTATTTTTTTTTTTTTTTTTTTTTTGTGGGGACAAGTACTGAGATTTTTGCTGAGTATTATAGACTTAAGTTCCATGTGATATTAATTCCCTCCTTTATCCAGTATTTATCTGCAGTTTCTCATCAAGTCTGGTGGTTTCAGCTCTGCTGTTTATCTCTTCCTTTTCCTTTTAGTTGCCATCATTTTTGTTCAGTTCTTGCCATAATTGTTTTTTTTACATGGCACCAGAGTGTTGAGCATGCGAGGCAAGCGTTGAACCACTGAGCTACATTCCCCAGCCCTCATTCTTTCTCTTAGTGAGTGTTTACAGAGTACCTGCTGCATGCTGAGCATGGTGCCAGCACTTGGGGCTCTAGGGCTAGGTAAGCCATAGTCTGTGGCCATGTGGTTGATGGTCTAGTGGTGGAGGCAGACCCACAAACATGCCAGCGTGTTACCTTGTGATAGGGTCCCTGTAGAAGAAAGGGAGCCTTGGAAACAGAGCAGGGCTCATGTCCCGCTGCTGGAGAGCTGGGAAGCATTTCACAAGTGAGGTGGTATTCAAGTGTGATCCAGGATTTGAATCCAGATCTCTTTTCAAAGTCCTTTTTCTTTCTTTCTTTTCTTTTTTAAAGATAGTTTTGCTATGTAGTTTAGGCTGGCCTTGAACTTGTGATGATCTTCTCCTTCAGCCTCTTGAGTGTTGGGATTATGGGCATGTGCCACCGTGCCCAGCTTAGAGTGTGATCTTGGAAGCCCAGTAGTTGTGCTGGTGAAGGGGCAGTGTTGGAGATTAGATTTCATCCCACCAGGCAGAGGTTCACTAGCATTTACTATACTCAACAACGTGCAACCACTCCTCTTTTCTAGTTTGAAAACATTTCCATTTCCATGCAAAATCTTTCCTTATTAAGGAATTTCTTCCCATAATTTCTTACCTCCAGTCTCTGACAATCTATGTTCTGCCTCTCTGCCTCTATGGATCTTTTTGTTCAGTATACACTATGTGATCTTTTGTGTCTAAGTTTATTTATTGCAATTTTTTCTTTCTTTTTTTTGTGCAATACTGAAGATTGAACCCAGGGGCTTTGCTTTATTTTGGCTGTTGTCATTAGTATTGCTGTGAACATGCATGTACATGGACCAGCATACCTGTTTCTGATTCTTCTGGGTATTGCAGGATCATATGGTAGTTCTGTGTTTAACTTATTAAGGAACTTTGCTTAATTTTAAGAGGGAAATGGCCACTATCATTTCAGTGTCAGGGAAATCATATACTATGAATGTGGACTTGAGGTAAGCAGGTGGATTTGGATAAAAGCCATCAAGTCTTGTAGCATGAATGGTTTGAGTGGAAGTAGGGTTGGGGAAGGACCGTGGAATGATAGTAGATACATTAGTGTCTAACCGTCAGGCTGGAAAGTGAGCTTTCAGGAAGGGCTTCCACACCTCTGAGCAGGCTGCTATCTACTCAGACCCTGTATGACTTTGGAGAACCTTCCATTTATATCTGTCCTTCCCAGCTGAACCATGGTGCCTTTTTTTTGTGGTGGTACTAGGGAATAAACCCAGCCCTTTTTATTTTTTAAATTTAAAATTTTTAAATTTTGAGACAGGATCTTGCTAAGTTGCAATGATCTTGCTAATTTTCCCAGGTCAGCCTTGAATTTGTGATCCTCCTATCTTAGCCTCCCAGGGTGTTGAAATTACAGGCATGTGAATTGTGTTCTTGTTGAATGTATTCTCTGCTTCCCTACATCCCCCGCCCCCCCCCAACTCATCCCTTTGATTCCTTTCCTTAGGCTTTTTCCTCAGCCCAACAGACCTTCCTTACCTCTCAAGTCCTCTCAAAAGGCAACTCTTTCTGCTGCTTGAGAGTTTCTTCCATCAACCGTGCTTTCCTCCTTTCCCTGAGCCTCCAGTTCTCTTTGGGAGGACCACTCAGTGGGACCTAGTCTGTTCCTCCTTACAGGGCAGTTTCTGGTCTTGGTCAAGCCCCTTCCTATTACTGAAGCTCTTCAAACAGTTTGGGTGTTTCTTCTGCAGCTCCTGGCCTAGGCATGAGGCTCTTGAGGCCTCTGAAAAGTCAGTGCTTTGAACTCCTCCGAAGCACCTGCTTTCTGTGTCTTCTCAGCAGGTTGCTCTCTCATCTGATGACCTTACTTATCTCTTAGCCAGTGGTGGGTGTGCTTGTGAAGTGTGGTTCTTCTACCAAAAAGTCCTATCCAGGGTTGCTCTTGAAATTGAAGAGTATCCTTTAAGTGAAATAAATAGGACACACATGTGTAAATACTGAATAGTTTCTCTGGTGTGAGAAACTGATAGTGTAAAGAAGGACTAAAAGGTAGAATAGATAATATGAAATAGGAAGAAAAGGGGCAAAGGAGAAGGGGAAGTGGGAGGGGTAGGGGAAAGGAAAGAAGGGAATGGAATGAATATGAGAAAATGAAAAACTAGAAACAAAGTCTTTGTAAATAGGGAGGGATGGAGGGGTTGAAGGGAGGGCAGGGGAAGGGGGAAAAATAAGAACCAAGAGAGTATGTAAAGGTGCATATTTCCAATGATGAATGTCATTATATTGTACACCTAAAATGTACCAATAAAAGGATATACAAAAAATAAAAATAAAAAAATTTTTTAAAAGTAATTGAAAAGTATCCATTCAGAACTTTGTGCTGTTGCTCATCATCTAGAACCTTCCAGTTAGATCAGTGCTTTTTCTGATTTATATTACACAGTCCACATATTGTCTGTCTGTTTTCTCAAAATGCTTTTGAATTTCTTCAGTGATAGTACTATTTCTTCATGACACCTTTTTTTTTGTTTTATTGTACTAAAGCTTTATGATCTCAGTAGAGGTCTGGCCAACCTGGTGTTGAAAGAGGGTGTTTATCTGTTAAAATGTTGACTGATGTGGGAGGATTTGGTGGGTGGAGCATTCTTTAATCTATAAGCTTTCTGATATATTCAAAATGATTTATCTTTCTTCCCCCCCCCCCCCCCCGTTTTTATCTAGGTTTTGTAAAAAGACCTCTCAAAGTCTCTGTCTCTCCTCAACCCTTTTCCTGACTCTCCCGTTTTGGAATCTGCTTTTTCCTGTTTGAGGTCACCTTTTGTTCTGATGGGACATATAAGCATTCATTAATCTAGTTGAGTCAGCATCAGAGTCCGGGTGTGACATTGTGCTTGGCTCATTGATTTAAAAAATGAAGTTTGGACACTTTTTGGTTTTTATAAGATTTGGTCATTTGTTATTTTCTCTTTGCAGTTTTTGATGATTTATTTTAAAATTGTTTTTGGCTTATATGGGCAGTTTGTGCCTCCTTGACATACTCTGTCCCAAGCAAAGGTAATGGTAACTGGGTACCAACAGTGATTCAGCAAATACTTGTTGGCTTTGATTTAACATTTTGCTGACAAAAACTACTTGAAAAACTGCATTTTGAAGTAAAAGGACAAACTTTTATAAAGGTGTATAGTTCAAATAAATTTACCAGAAGTATTTTTTAAATTGAATAGACTTTCTTAAATATAAAAACAACTTTATATCAAACTGTCATTTGCATTGGTCCCTGAAATCTAGAGCCTTTTGTTCAGAGTAGAGAAGGAAGACTGTCACTTTGGCATGTGATTGCATTTGATTGTCATATTTGATCCCAAACAGTTGTGATTTCCTATCCTCAGAGGAAGCATTTGACAAGTTGCCTCAGTCCACCGTTCCTGAGATGCAGCGCAGCAATTTGGCCCCTGTCATTCTGCAGCTGAAAGCACTAGGGATTGACAATGTCCTCAGGTTCCACTTCATGTCGGTAAGTTCTGCCTTCATTTGGGGAGCTTTCAGGGGTGTGTCAGTGTCAGGATGTTGTGGTAGGGCATGCCATCTTTTGTTTTTGCCCATTCAGCTAAAATATAAGGTGCCAATATGGTACAGGTTGCGTGCAGCAAAGGGGAGAAAGAAGAGAGCCACAGGGCTGGGGATTTAGCTCAGTGGTTTCGCCACTTGCTGCGCAAGCGCAAGGACCCGCATTTGATCCCCAGAACCAAAAAAAAAGAGACAGCCACAGTTGTTTGTATGTAATTCCTCTTTTTGACTGCTGGGGCATAGAGACAAGTAAGTGGGGAATGACAGAGCATTGTGCACAGTGCTCTGAGAGACAAAGTCATGTCTAAGGTGAAACCTGAGACCCAAGTAGGATTTTACAATGTCAGGGAAGGTGGAGAGTCCTGGACAGCAGGTCTGTGAATGGGCCAGCCTGCAAGAGCACCTGGTTGGGGGAGCTGAGAGGTTTGGTAGAACTGTGGGGAAAATCCTGTGACTGATTGTGTGTCTGATGATTGCCTAGGGCAGGGTGCTAGGAGTGGAATTACTGGGCTGAAGGACCATAGTCCTGGTGTAGGCTCTTGCTACCTGGCTAGATTGTTTTTCATTGCCAGTTCCCGAGTGCCCAGAGGCCTGGCTCCCAGTGCTCCCATCGTCTTCTTTTAGTTTTGTCAATTGAGACAGACAGGGAAAGAATAGTATCTTTATCTTTACCTTTTGGAAAATTTCTCATAAGGTAGATTTTTTTTTCTCTTTCTTTTTTTGATACCAGAAATCAAACTCAGGGCCTTGTGCTTGCCAGGCAGGCATGGCACCACTGAGCTACATCCTCAGCCTTCATTAGGTAGATTCTTAGTTTATTGGCCACTATATATTTCATCTGAATTTTTAAATCATTTATCTGTTGGAATTAGTGTTTATTAGTGATTTTCAGAAGTCCATTAAAGACGTCAACCTTTGTAACATTTCTTGCAAATATTCTGTTATTTGTATTTTACTTGGATTTTTGTTTCTTTTTAATATGCAGACATTCTAAATATATCCATAGAAAAGTATTTCTGTCTTTGTCTTTATGGTTTCTGTGGTTATTCTTGTGCTTTTGAAGCACTTCTCATATCTAGGTCAGTTTATACATATTCACTCATTTTATTTTGGAATTTTTATGATTTGAGGACTCACATTAACTCTTTTTTGTGTCCTAAGTGATATGACAAGTCTTGATGTTTGGATAGTGAAGTTCTTAATGTCATTATGCTCTGGAAAACTAGGTGAATGAAAGAATAGAATTATAAATACCAACCTCTCACAGAAAATAATTGTGTGCTTACAGTAAGTATAAAGAAAATCTTGTATTGCTATAGAAGATAAGGTACTATGCAAGAAGATGAACACCCTATGCAAATATAAAACCCATGAAAAATCCACATCTAAGAATAAAAGAAAACATGACAGAAATGACCTATCAGTATCCCTAAAAGTACAAATAATTTTCATATATACATCCTGTATAATAACTGAAATATCTACTAAAGAAAAAACTAAAGGGAAGGAAGCAACATAAATTGTAAATTGATATTAGGATACATTATGCTTCTCCAGGAGAGAGAGAAGTACAAATTGACATGGCTGTAAAGTCTGAGAGACACACACACACTCACACACAGAATGAATATATCTTTCAGTGTAAACACTAATTAAATGTTCAAATATTAAGAAAAATGATGAGATCCAGAGCTGATGGAGTTTGGGAAAGTAAATGCCTTGTGTATTGCTGGTGCATTTATACTCTGTTTTAGTCCTTGTGGAGGGCAATATTTATAAGAAATAAAAGTGGCTGCTATTTTTTCCTTGCGGAAATTTTTCCTGAAAAAATAATTTGAGTCGGACGAGATGGCATACACCTATAGTTGCAGTTATGTAGGAGGCTGACATAAGAGGATGGGAAATTCAAGGTCAGACAGGACAACTTACCAAGACCCAATCTCAAAATATAAAAAAGAGTTGGAGATATAGCTCAGTGGGCAAGCCCTGGGTTCCTTCCCTAGTGCTGGGGGGTGGGGTGGGAGGTAGATTATGTAGCTCAATGGTAGAATGCTTGCTTAGCATGGGTTCAGTCCTTGATAGAACACACACACGTGCACGCATGCACACATGCACACACACAAATCAAAGGAAGAGAAAAGCTTACACAGATGATAATGCTTACAGCGTATTTTATATTAAATTTAAAAATATAAACAAAGCCATAAAACTTTTGGACAATGAAAAACGAACAAATTAAAAAAAAAAAAAAAAATTTATTTTATATTAAATTTAAAAATATAAACAAAGCCATAAAACTTTTGGACAATGAAAAACGAACAAATATGTACAAATTTGTCTTTATATATTCCTCTCTGGTTATTTCAGTTGAAATTATAGGATACATATAATTTTGTATTTTGGAATGTTATTTACAATAGTGAAAAACTGGAAGAAGAAATAGTGAAAACAGGAAAATATACAACGAGGAGAAACTAAAACTATACACAGACAGAAATGTTAAATATACTAAAACAGTGCAGTTGTGTGTGATCCCAAATCAGATAAGGTCCTAGAGGGATACTGGTGCATCTGTGTTTAGGTGAAAACACTATAAATATGATTTTTGTGCAGGATTAGGGGAAGTCAATTTTTTTTGATTGATGATAATGGCAAGAAATAGAGTCAAGACTGAAAAGTGTCAAAGAAGATGTTAGCTTTTTTCTGTAGTTGTTTGAAACTTACATCAGAGCTTTGCTATTTCTCTTATCACATGTAACTTCAGTATAAAAAATCCCCAGAGGGTTTGAGCTCCTCCAATTAGGTACTGTGCATTTCACCTCTTTAAAGGTGAAGAAAGATATCATAGACTGTGTGGAAGGGTTAGTGGGCCAGTTACATGCTTTGCTCAGCAGTGATTTGTTGAATACCCTATGTGTAGTGAATCACTACCCCTTATAAATGTATGCACCTGAGCATGAAGTCATTACATCTTTTTAAAGTTTGACTCTGTTCTTTGGCAAACAAAATGGATGAGATAGAGTGGAAAAAATGAGGTCCGCTTAGCATCTGACTTTAAAACCAATTGCCTATAGAGCTGAGTGTAGTGGCATGTGCCTGTTATCCCAGCACTTGGGAGGCTGAGGCAGGAGGATCACCTACAGCTCTAGGGCAGCCTGGGCTACATAGTAAGTTCAAGGCCAGCCTGGCTACTTAGCAAGACCCTGTCTCAGAAACAAACAAAGCCAGGTGTGGTGGTGCATGCCTGTAATCCCAGCACTTGGGAGGCTGAGGCAAGAGGATTGCCACAAGTTCAAGGCCAGCCTGAACTACATAGTGGCACCCTGTCTAAAAAAAAAAATGCCTGTATAACTTTGTTCAAAGTTTTTTACTTATTGTTACTCACTTTCTGCATTTGTAGAATTGAACCAAAACAATATGATTCTTAAAGTATATTTGTTATAATTGTCTTAGATGTTTTGTATGTTCTTTGGCCTATTAGTCTGGTTTTCAATCTGTGTATATGATAATTAACTTTATAAGGTCTTATAAATAAATGGTGCTAGAAAAATAAAAGGAAGATAGAGGGAGGGCGGGAAAGAAGGGAATTGAAATGTGTTATATGCATGTACCAGTCCTCTACATATAATCATTATGTACTGTAAACATGTACAAATAGAAGTTAAAAAAAAAAGAGTCCACCAAAAAAATGTACATACCAGGAAAAGAAAAATTTGTGTAAATATTTTAATACTAAATTTATTGAGAGAATAAGACAATACAAGTTACCTTTGGCCTCTCCAATTATAAGAGGCACTGAAAGTGATAGCCAGTAACTTCCAGACATTTATTAGCATGGTGAACTGCTGAACTGTGTATATATTTTTGGCAGACTTTGTATATATTTGTTATATAAATGCATTTAGAAGAAAAGCTATGCAGTTTGCAAAAATTTTGTAGTTTTATCACCTGTTTTTTATAGTTTTATTTTATTTTATTTTTTTTTGGTACTGGGGATTGAACTCGGGTCTTTGCGCTCGCGTAGCAGGAGGCGAAACCACTGAGCTAAATCCCCAGCCCTGTTTTTTATAGTTTTATTACCTGCCTTATTATTATTATGTCTGAGGAGAGCTTGGGTACAATGAAGTGGTTGTTTAAGGTAGAAACCATCACCTCTGATGGAGAAGAGGATGAGGGAGCTCATAGGGGAAGTGTTTAATAAAGCTGATCCTTGAAGGTCAAGTAGTTGTAAGGATGCTGAGAAGGTGACAAAGACATTTCAAGGAGGCAGTAACAGCAGGAGCAGAAGCACAAAGGCTAGGAAGAGTGGGGCATGCTAGGAAAGTGGATTTGAACAGAAAGTGATCATGTTTTTATTTTTCTTGCCCAAAGAAATTAATTTAGGAGACCTTTTATTTGTTTTACAGCCCCCTCCAGCACAGTCGATGGTTCAAGCTTTGGAGTTACTCTATGCCTTGGGAGGTATGCTTGTTTCTCTTACTATTTGTTCTCCTATGTGATAGTAGTTGAATTTATTTTAAGGTTATTAGTATCTTCAATATGATTATTCCTCCCCATGTGTGTAATACTTTTACGGACACTGTCAAAATAAGAAGTTGGGACCATAATTAGACCAATAGTACAGGAAGGCCAATTATGACAATTATGAAGCATGCCTGTACACCAGAAACCATGAATAACTATTACCAGGGCCAAATGCTATGAAACATCTAGAGGTCAGCAGTTCTCTGCCAGATTTTAGGTGTTAGCTACCCTTTTCCTCTGTCCCTCACTACATCCTTGATTCTGTGACTTAGTGTTTCTGTCCCCAGTTCCCTTTCATTTCTTTCCTGGAGTTCCATGTGGGGAATTGGGTAGATCACCAGCTTGGCATATTGTTTGAGCAAGGAAATGTCATGTTATAGAGCAATCACTGTTCACTTGTTTGTTGCATGAAAATGCAGTATGTATGTAAAGAGAGAGAAGATTGTGCCCAGAACTCACCTCTTCAGGAAGTACTGTCTCTGTGCGTGGTGTCCCAAGTGGGTATCAAGTCCTGTTTGGTATCAAGCTTCAGTGGAGTTTTGGCCTGAGATTTGTTTTGAGTGTTTCTCATTTAAACAGCTTTGTTGAGGTGTAAGTTAGCACACATTTTGCTCATTTACAGTGTGTGATTCATTGTCTTTGGGCATATGCACAGGGTTTTACAATCTTCATAATCTAGTTTTAGAACATTTTTATCACTCAGAAAAAAAGAAATCCTATGCCCACCAGCATTCACTCTCCATTTCCAGAATCACTAATCTGCTTTTAACCCTATAGATTTGCCTGTTCTGGACATTTCATGTTAGTGGAATCATACATGAGTTCTTTTGTGTTTGGCTTCTTTCATTTAGCCTGTTTCCAAGCTTTGTCCACATTGTAGCTTATATTAGGACCTTATTCCTTTTTTTTTACTGAATAATATTCCATTGTATGGATATACCGCATTATTTTTATCTGTTAAGTAGTTGATTGACATGTGGGTTTCTACATTCCGTAGAATAAATAATGCTGCTATTAACATCACAGAAATTTTTGGTGGACATTCCCCCCCACCTCCCAGCAATGTATGAGAATTCCAATATTTCCAATTTGTGGCTAATGCTTGTTATGGTTTGACTTTTGTGTCATGGCCATCTTAGTGGATATAAAATGGTATCTAGTGGCTGAGGTTTGCATTTCCCTAATGACTTATGATATTAAGCACCATTTCATATGCTTATTTGCCATCTGTATATAGTGTCTCTCTTCCCTCAGTTTCTCTGGGGGATTGGTTCCAGCACCAGCATCCTCTTGGGATATCAGATCTATGGATACTCAAGCCTCAAATAAATGTATAGGTTATATTTGCATATAACCTATACACATCCTCCTCTATACTTTAAATCATCTCTATAGATTTCTTATTATGCCTAATGTAATACAAATAATATGTGAATAGTTATTCTCCTGTTACTTAGGTAATAATGATAAAAACAATCTGCATGTGATTTGTACACAGTTTTTTGTTTGTTTTTTTGGTACCGGGGATTGAACTCAGGTCTTTGTGCTTTCGAGGCAGGCAGTGGAACCACTGAGCTAAATCCCCAGCCCCGTACACAGTTTTTTTTCATGAATATTTTCAGACTGTAGTTTATTGAATCCAAGGTTGGAACCCAGAGGTCTGAAAGCCTGACTTTGGAGAAGTATCAATTCAAATACCTGTTCAAATCCTTTGTTCATTTTTATTTGGGTACTGGCTTTTTATTATTGAGTTGGAGGTATTCTTTGTATAGGCTAGATAAAAATTTCTTTTTTTTTTTTGGTACTGGGGATTGAACTTAGTACCTTGTGCTTGTGAGCTAGGTGGTGGAGCCACTGAGCTAAATCTCAGGCCTTAGATACAAATTTCTTATAACTGATTTGTAAATACTTTCATTTAATTAATGGTATTATTTATAGTACACAAGTTTTAAGTTTTGGTGTAGCTCAGTTTGCTGAGTTTTTCTTTTGTCTTTCATTTGCTGAGTAGGGGCCCTTATTTTTTTTAGTACTGGGAATCGAACTCAGGACCTTGCTCTTGCAAGGCAGACACGGTGCCACTGAGCTAAATCCCCGGTCCAGTAGGGACCTTTTAAATTCATTATATTTATGATATTTCTCTGTGAAGGAGTAGCCTATTACTGATTTAAAAGCTCTCTGTTGATTTAAAAGGTCTTCAGTACGGTCCACAGAAGATTAGCCCAGAGTGAGTGTGTTGGGGTAGGTTTCTGTCTCCTGTTCTCTAGCATGTAATAGGAACTTGAAAGCAAGGTTAACTGTAAGGAGGTTGGGAGAACATTGGCTCCATAGGTGTTTTTCATTTGGATTGATTTTTCTTCAATAAAACAACAAAAGTTAAAATGTTTTCTATTTCTTTAGAGCCCTAAATATGCTAGGAAAAGTGGAGGAAAACCTCCATCTTAATTTAGCTTCACCTTTAAAGAGATGATTATATTGGAACAGGAGAAAAATGACCTTTTCTGTCTCATTCTGAGCTCCTACAACATTTATTTTAATCAGTAAAGTAATTGTCTATATGTAGGGTCTTGGGAATCCAATACCTGGATATTGGCAAGCAGTAGAAAGGCCAGGAGGAAAGGTAATGAATTGATTAGGAATCTGCCAAGTTCAGTAAACTCCCCCGGGGGGCAGTTGGGTAAATAGGTGTAGCGTAGGGACTAAAGTCTGGGCTAGTGTTTAGATCCAGAATTGCTGGTCTAGATCCAGAAGGTGATTGAGGGGGAGCACTAGGGAGGTTGTAGAGAACCAGGAGGAGGTGGGCACAGAAGCTTGGGAAGAAAAGTTCCCAAAAGCCGTGGTCAGCAGGGTCAGTTGCTGCTGGAGAATGGAAAGAAGATGTTCTTCTTATATCTGGTGGTGCTTAGCTGAGCTGTGGGACTTTGTGCAGCAGTGGGAATGGAAGGAAGAGGCTGTGGAATGAGGAGGGAGTAGGAGCAAGAAGCTGCTGCAGGGCCATTTCCTTATAATTAATTCCTTGAATGTAAGTCATTACAAGTAGCAATTTTTAAAAACTGGGTATTCAGGAGCCCAGTAGATCTTCTTTTGATGCAAAGGCTCTCTGGTATCAAATTGGGTTTGGTAGTGCATGAGTCATCTTTTGGATTCCTTTTTAAAGCATACATCATCTTTTATTCTCTCAACAACTATACATCTTCCAGCATAGTGAATGGTACATGCCTTCTGATTTCTTTCTGGTGTTGTTCTGGCAGGTCTGGACAAAGACTGTCGCCTTACTGAACCCCTTGGCGTGAGAATAGCAGAGTTTCCTTTGAATCCCATGTTTGCCAAAATGCTGCTTGAATCAGGTGGGTAGAACCTGACAGCTGGTATTGGTTTTATTTTGATTGTCAGTTGTTGTTTCCGTTTGTGGTTAGAAACAGTAGCAAAAAAATATAGAATTTACCATTTTAAAATAACTTTTTTTTTTTTTTTGGTGGTACAGCAGATTGACCCCATGGCCTAGGGAAGTGCTCTCCCTCTGAGCTACATCCTCAGACCTTTTTACTTTTTTTCAGACAAAGACTTCTGAAGTTTTCCAGGCTGGTCTCAAACTTGCAGTATTCAGCTTCCTTGAATAGTTGGAATTATAGGTGTGCACCACTGCGTCCAGCTTAACTCTTTAAGTACATAGATCTGAGACCTCAAGTACATTCACATTGATATGCAACCATCAGCGCCAGCCATCTCTCGAACTTTTTCCATTTTACCCACTAAATCTCCGTACCCACTAAATAAAAGCCTCACATTTCCTCCTCCTCTCAGCAGCTACCATTTTCTTCTCTGTTTTAGTGAATTTGATTACTCCAGCAATCTCATATAAGTAAAACTTTACAGTATTTGTCTTTTGGTGACTGCTGATTTCACTTAGCATTATGTCTTCAAGGTGCATCCATGCAGTAGCATGTATCAAAATTTCCTCCATTTTTATGGCTTGAATAATGTTGCAGTGTATGTATATGCCACTCTTTGTTTTTCTGTTGAGGAACACTTAGGTTGCTTCTGTCTTTCGGCTCTTATGAATACTGCTGCAGAGCAGTGAACTTGGGTGTGCAAATACTGTTTTGTTTTTTTTAAGAGTTAATTTTTTAATTTTTAATTTTTTACTTTTTTTGCAAATACTTCTTTGAATCCCTGCTTTCACTTCTTCTGGCTGTATACCCCAGAGTGGAATTACTAGATCGTATGACAACTCTTTGTTTAATTTCTTAAAGTATTTTTAATTGGCAAATAATTGTGTATATTTTTGGATATAATGCAATATATTTATCTATGTATACATCCTAGAAAGAGTGTCAAGCGTATCTATCACCTTACCAATTTATGATTTTTCTGTAGTGAATAAAAAAAATCTATTCTTTTAGCAGTTTTGAACTACGCATTATATTATTAACCATGGTCAGCATTCACTGCAATGGAGTGCTAGAACTTACTCTTCCAGTCTGAAATCTTGTGTTCTTTTCAGCATCTCCCCCTTCCCTGTCTTTCTTCCTCACCAGTTTCTAATGACTTGGGGCTGTTTCTGTAAGATTACTTTTTTAGATTCCACATGTAAGTAAAATCATAACAGTCTTTGCCATTCTATACTTGGTTTATTTCACTTAGTATATATCATCCTCTACTAGTTCTATTTGTATTGTCTGGTATGACAGAATTTTCTTTTTTAAAGGTTGTATGGTATTCCATTGTGTATCTATCAGATTTTTATTATCCATTCATTTACTGATGGGCATGCAAGTTGCTTCTGTATTTTATTTTATTATATTTTGTTAATTAATTAGTTTTGGTACCAGGGATTGAACTCAGGACCTTGTACTTGCCAGGCAGGTACGGTGCCACTGAGCTAAATCCCTGGCCCTGCTTCTATATTTTAGCCATTATAAATAATGCCATGATAAACAGGAGTGCAGATTTTGCTTTTACATCCCAATTTCAATTCTTTTGGATGTATACCCAGAAGTGGGACTACTGGATCATGTGGCAATTCTGTTTTTAGGTTTTTGAGTATTTACATTACTTACAGTATTTTCTAATATGGCTGTGTTGACATTAATTTTTTAAGGAATTGCCATATTATTTATCACAGTGCCTGTACTGTTTTGTATTCCTACCTATAATATACAAGGTTCTAGTTTCTCTGATACTCTTCAAATTTTTGTGAGGACTTGAATTCTAGGATAAACATATATAACCTGGAGATCTGTTTATTAGATATCAAAATCATGTAGACATCATAGATTGTTTTTTTCCCTCTTGGCAAAGGTAATATTTTTTTCTTGCTTTTGTCTGACTTTTTTATATCAGCTGGCAATTTATGAAGGTGTGTTTCAGACCTAGCATGGTGAAAGTTAGCTACAGTTGTGTTTTAGAACACCCAGATGCCGTTAGCCTTACAATGAAAAGCAGATTCTAAGCATTGGGTTGGGAGAATACATCATACATGAGCTCAGCAGGAAGCTGTGGAAAGGGGAGGCAGGCAGTGTGGTTTGCTCTGTCCAGCACCTTGGAAGACTGGTTACTGCAGATTCTGCTCCCAGGTGCTACCAGGAACAGCACATCGAGTGCTGTTGCAGTCTGCTTCTGCCTTGGCCTTCCTGGGAGAGATGAGCATTTTTGGAAGCCCACACAGAAGGGCCAAGAACAGAGAAACAGCAGGAGGAACATAACCTACACACCCCCTGTCCTCTTTTTCCTTCAACTTTACTACCGGGATTCTAGTTGTCCACCTGGAGTAGGGAGCAGGTGTGGCACTGACCTTCCCTTGGCCAGCCCAGACCCCATCTTGGCTGGCAGTGAGTGCCCTCAGTGTTGCAGCTGCAGAGTGGGATAGCAGCTTTTTTGAGTCCTTCAAGGCTAACCCACGTGTGTAGGACCTTCCATTTGGCAGAGTGAATTATTCATATAGCATAAACCTTAAAAGTTAAGCTAAAATGTGATCTTATTTTACAGTATGGTACAAGGCAAATGTCTTTTACTCCTTGTTTGTTGACATGTTGTGTGTTTGCAGTCAAACATGCCTTTTTTACTTTATAGGAAATTTTGGCTGTTCTCAGGAAATTCTAAGCATTGCAGCCATGATGCAGATCCAGAATATCTTTGTGATCCCTTCAAACCAGAAGTCTCAGGCAGTAAGTCCAGCTTACTCCCCAAGCTGTTCATGTTACTTTCTTTCACTGAGGATATTCCTTGTTAAAACTTGCCCAGAAGCTGCTGAAGACAGCTGTGCAAATGATATCGGCTCACATTTCGAGTGTTTGCTTTGTGTCTGACATGGTGCTAAGCACTTTACATACATAATTTCATTTTATCTTCACCATAAACCTTGAAGGTAGGTAATGTTATATTTTGGAGATGGAAGCCCACAGAGTTAGGCAACTCATTGATGATTGCACAACTGCAGTCAGCAGAGTGGGCTTTCAAGACCAGGGTCCCAAACCTTAACCAGTATACTGCTGACGTTCAGTTTCCCATCAGGGAACTCCAATGGTGGGCACATTAGTAACATAAGGAGTCAGTGCCTGGGCAGAGCATGCTGATTCTAAGCACCACACAGCATCATAGCGTGTTGCAGATGGGGCATCAGGAGCTGAAACAGATGCCAGGAGGGTACCTGAAGCACAGGCAGAGGTGCTGACTGAAAGAGTGAAGGTGAGAAAGACTGGAGGACATGTTTAGGGTACTGAAGAGCAATGTGAAGGGGAGGATACTGAGGGAAGTGGGCACAGGTGGGCTCAGACTCAGCTGTTTACAGAGAGTAGCAGCTTTGCATAGGGAGGGTGACCTGGGTTCTGTAGAAGGGAGACTGCCTCTCTCACAGATGTTGGGAATCTCCCAACATATAGCTGTATATCTGTAGATGACAGAGTTTTCCCGTATTTCCATTTCTCAGGTTTTTTATTTGTCCATTGACCTTTTTAACAGTCCTACTTCAGAACAGAAACACTCAAACTTTAGAAAGGAGAAAACTAAAGTTCTTTCCCCTTTGTCTAAAATGGTAGCACCTCTTTACTTTCTATGTCCATTCTCAGCTTTATGCTTCTCCTCTAGTGCTTCTTATCACCTGACGGCCTACATGTTTTACTTATCTTTGTTATCTTCCTCCCACCAGTCTTTTATTCACTGTTATATCCCGAGTGAGTGTAACAGTTCCTATCTATATTAGATACGTGGTTTAAAAAAGAAATACTGAATGAGAAGAAAGAAGGGAGGAGGGATGAAAGAAAGAAGGGAGGAAGGAAGGAAAATAGCTTGATTGATTACATGACATTTAATTCAAGGATAAAATTCTGAAGTTTGTGTACCTGCTGCTCCTTGATCCATGTGAACAGTTAGCATATTCCAGGATATTTCAGAAAGAATTCAAAGATGGGGTCTGAGAGGATTGTGCAGCTAGTAGGTAGCCTAGGAATACTGAGTGCCTACCATGTGCTGGACAACATACCTCCTGCCCTCCTTGGAGCCTGCATGGTGCTGGCGATTGGGAGGAGAGAGGTAAGAACACCAACATTGATCAAATTCCTGTGCCAGGAACTTTATAGTAAATTATCTTAATCCATTGCAACCTCACTAAGAGGTTTAATTTCCTGATTTTACAGATAATAAAGTTGAGGCCAAGAAGGGTCAAGTAACCAATCCAAGGGCTCTCAAAATATAGCACAGGCAGGGTGGTGTGAATCCACAGCTGAATGCTGTTCATTCTGCATTGTCACTCCCAGGCTCATAGGAATCAGCTTCTAAATGACAAGTTACTCTTTCCAGATCCGAATGCACCGAAAATTTGCTGTGGAGGAGGGTGATCACCTTACCATGCTCAACGTGTATGAGGCGTTTATCAAAGTAAGCACAGCTACCACTCAGAGGGACCCTCTCATACCTGCCCACTTGGTCTGATCTGGAAGTGAGGATACCAGAAGTTAGTAGACAAAGGAGTGGCAAGAGACCCCTTTATTTTCCTATTAGATTTCTTGCCAGTAGGTTGAGTGTCCTGCTGAGTTTCTGTTGCGATATTGCCAGAGGGAACACAGGAGTCATTTGTTGGTTTTTCTTGCCTGGCAATATGATTCAGTAGAGGTGAGATAAGGCCTTAGCTTCCCAGTGTCTTCCCATCTACCAGGTTTTGGACAGAAAGGTGACATTTGAATAGGAAGTTGTGTTATATTTTCTGCCAGATGAACAAGGATGAGGACACTTTGTAATCTTGAGTTGAATCTTCAAAGTTGTCCCAGCTTCCATGAGAATATGTTTGGCCATATCCACATATCCTACCCTTGTTTAGTCATAGTCAGTTTTAACCTTTCATTCATAATATTCTGGAAAACTAAGGGCAAATAATATAGCTTAAAGTTTTCACCAAAAATTGTTAAAAATAGTAAGCTAAAACCAGTGAAAATGATGAAAAAAGAAACCTTTCATGTAAAGGAAAGGGAATAATATTTTACATTTTCATTATTCACTTATATCCTTTTTCAGAAGAGAAATACCGCGGTTTTTTTTTTTTTTTTTTTTTGGTCCTGGGGTTCGAACTCGGGTCCTTGCGCTTACGCAGCAGGCAGTGAAACTACTGAGCTAAATCCCTGGCCCGAAATACGAAATTTTTGTTTTACCAGATACTGCAAGATGGTTCAGTTAAAAAAAATAGTTTTCAGAAAAAAAAAATATGGTGACTTAAGGATTAAATCAGTTAAAACTCATTTTTGTGAATACAACATACCGTTTCTAATCTGAAGCTTTTCCTAGCAATAGAATGTTGATGTAGATCTCCATTGCATTGTTCTGTCGTTGCCTTTTGGGAAAATCCTCTGTGAATTACATTTTTAAAAAAAAATTTAAATTACTTTCCACTCTGGCTTAGAATGTAATTTTAGAGGTATATTCCCAGAGCCAAAATTAAATCCAATGGCCATACTTAAGAATGTGGTATAAAATTAAGCACTCTTGATAAAAAAAATCATACTTTGGGGACAAATAATAATTTGTAAGTTATTTTTGCATTGGCAAGTGGGATATTGCTTGTCCAGTGATAGTTATAGACTGAAGCTTGCCAAAGGAGATTTACAAAGAAAAAGAACCACAGAGATGTGGCCCTTTCTGATCATTCATGTCTCATGTATGTGGGTGAGGTTGCAGACAGCTCTGCTTGTCCCTCAGTTCTCCTTTGCTCCTTAGTGTGGCAGCGGAGGTTGCAGAGGCATCTCATGTGAGTGTGGTTGCCAACATGTGTCTTGAGAGACAGCCCCCAAATAAGGCCATTTATAATCTGAAGATCTTGTCTCATTGAACAAGGCAGTAGGGAAAGGAAACATAATTGTCTTCATGGTATTTCCCTGGTTGTATCATTTCTATGCTCCTCTAATTCTCCCTCTGTCTGGGTTATTCTGTAGCACAATAAAAACTCCCAATGGTGTCAGGAACATTTCCTGAATTACAAGGGTCTTGTCAGAGCTTCAACCGTGAGAGAACAGTTGAAAAAGCTGCTTGTCAAATTTCAGGTACCCAAGAAGTCCAGCGAAGGTGAGAATAAACTATCTCTGTCTATGACTGCCCTTTCTTTGCTTGACTTGGTTGGGTTTTTAATGTTCTCATGTTGGGTTGGTGTGAAGCTATACAGTGTACTCTGGCCCTACACCAGGTTTCATCTGTGAATTACCTATCTGAATGAAAAGCTGAATATTAAGTTGTATATTTTTCTCTAGGAGGTTCATTTGTATTTCTCAGGGCTATCCTTAAAAAAGAACATAAAGCTTATGACAGTGCTTAAGAATCATTAATATTCACATCATTGTACCTCATGTAATTAATGTGACCATGTAATCATTGCAAGAAGAATTACTTTTAAGTGGTTGGAATTTATGGCTATTACATAAAAATTGCATTTTCTTTTTTGATGCCAGTATTATTAAAGCAAGCACATATGTGAAGCTAGCCAGTCACTAAGGATAAGGCTGCATAGGACAATATAAGATGTAGTGTCTGGCCTCTAACAGTGACAATGATGGCCATTGATTGAGCACACAATAGGTTACACTGTACTCAAGACTCTACAGATGTTCCCTTGCTTCATCTCTCACTGTGGCAGGTGTCCCTGACAGCGTCCTTATTTTATCTTTTTTATTTTTTTGAGGCAGGGTCTCACTATGTAGTTCATACTGGCCTGGAACTCACTAGGTAGCCTAGGCTGGCCTCCAACTCCTCCTGTCTCAACCTCCCGAGCACCGGGATTACAGGCATGTGCCACCACGTTTGGCCAGCATTCTTGCTTTACAGAGGAGTCAGAAAGTCCTAGGGAGGAGTTAAATTAAGTTTGGGATGATGTGGCTGGTGGTCCACTCCAGAGCCCCGTCTGTGCAGCCCAGAAGTCCACACTTTGGGGAAGTGCCCCATCTGCTCATGCATTTGGCAATCAGTTGTCTTGAATACCTACTGTGTGCCAGGTATTCAGCCACATTCTCAACCCCACTGATACTTGTTAACAACATTTCTTGAGTGCTTCTAATAGGCCAGGCAGTGTCTGAATGTTTTTATGTTAATTCATGCAGACTCACAACAAATGTGCAAAATATGTGCTGCTGTTATCTTCATTTTAGAGGTAAGACTAATGAGGCTAAGGGGCAAAGAGTAACTGTCCAGAGGTCAAACAGGAAGTGTATGGAGGAGTCAGAACTTGAACCCAGGAACTTTTATTTCAGAGCCTTGTATTGCTTTTGTGCTAAGAACAAGAACAAGAGATTAGAAAGTGACCAAGACCTGGTTTTTAACTCTTAGGGCATAGTGCAGTGAAGGGAGAGATTCATTACAGATAGATGAACTATAAGATTACTATTCCTCTTAGAATTTAAAATAGTAGACATTTCAGTAATTACACACACAGTACCAAGTGTAGCAGCAGTGCAGGAAGAGAAAACCCCATGGAGCTGGCCTTGAGGGGTCGTCCTGTCCATCACTGGCCTTGAGGGAAGTCCTGTCCATCACTGGGGGCCTGGTGTAAGTAGAAAACAGTTGAAAGGGCACGCGAGGCAAGGAGGGCTTTCAGGACAAGTGCTTGCGATAAGGAGTGTATCAGATGCTGACAAGAGAGGGAAGACTGGCAACCTCGGGACTGGATTGTGTTGATGTCATTGATAGGAGCAGGAAGCTTAGAAGGGCAGCTAATTGGAGAGGGCCCTGTCACTTGGCAGAGTGATTACAGCCTTATTTCTGTATCTGTGTATCTGAACCTGCTACTCAAGAGAAAAATAGATTAAGTTTAAATTCCTCTTAACAAGGAATTCAATGCTCAGGAGTAAGATTTTGTAAAGGAGAGTTGAGCTTTGGAGGGCCACAGCCATTGTAAAATCTAAAAAGCCTCCTCGCCTCCACCTGCAAGGACCAACTTTACTCTTGGAGGTGACACTGTCCTCGAGAAGAATGAATGTTGTACATGAAAGTTTCCTATGGGCAATAGAAAAAAAAGGACTGAATCTTGGGCCAGACGATGGTTAAAGTTGTAGATTAGAGATGTATCAGTTTTCTCTGCTTGGGAATAATAAAGAAAATCATAGAGACTAAATAAATTACGTGCGAAGTTAAAGCATCTAGAAAGCGAGTAGTGAAAGATATTTTTAGCAGTCATGAGATAAAAGTCAAAATTTTATTATAAAATGATTTTTTTAACCTATTTAGAAAAAAGCACTAATGTCCAAGTTAATAAATTAGCAAAGGATTAGAATATAAAATTTACAAAAGAAGATATACTTGTATACTAATAGTAATCAAATATCAAATAAAAGAAGGTAAGTCTTTGACAAGAAAGAATACAATGAAGCTGACATTTTAATGTATTGATGGCTTTGTAAATAATAACACCTTTAGGGAATTTGTTTGTCAACACACTATATTTCACTGAATCTAAGATACTGTCAGTATCTTAGGTATCAGTAAGAAAAAAATGCCACTGTAATTATAAGATGCTATCCTGAAATGCTATCAGTGAAAGTATAAGAAAATAAAAAAGTCTTAGAATTGAATGATATATCATAAGCCATAAAAATAATTTTGTACAGTAATTCAGAGTTTATCTTATGGACATCATAATAAATTGAGAAGCTTTTATCCATGAAATGTTTACTGTAGCAATAGAAACTCCAGTTGAAATGGAAGGTTTGCAAATATCAAAGAATTGTACGGTGTATTTTATAACCACAGAAATAATGAAGTGTAATATTCCAACTTGGGTCTTGTGCAAAGAACATCATTTCCATAAGGTGCTCTCTTAAGGAGTTCTGAAGTCTCCTCCACCCTGTGGAGTAGCTGTCTTAGATTCTGGTGCCCAGCCTTGTTCCAGTCATCTGTGGCTTGGGGAGTTGGAGGGTCCCCAAGTTAGAGCAGCAGTGTGGAAGTGGGGGCTTCCCCAGATGGCCTGGGGCAGGCATCCAGCATGGGGCAGTGCAGCAGTGGGCTGGTTCAGCAGATGGTTTTGAGGTGGTTTGAAGCGCCAGGCTCCTGTGAGTCTCAGCACAGGCCATACTGTGTAGGGCATGGGGCACACCAAGGTTTCATCTGTCACTGTTTTCTGCCTTGTGCAGGTGATCCAGATCCAGTCCTGAGGTGCATTGTTTCTGGATTCTTTGCAAATGCAGCAAGGTTTCATTCTACTGGAGCTTATAGGTAACACAATGCTTTATGCAGTTATTTGTTAAAAGAGAAATCTTTAAAATGACCCAAACCCCACAGAAAGCTGATGTGCAGAGATAGTAGAGAAATCAATTATTTTAAATTCGTATCATGCCTCCTTCCAAAACTGAGTTGACATTGGATATATAGCTTTAAGCACATTATCTTAACTCTCTGGAAGTAGTTCTTAAATACTACTTAAGTAGTGGCCCATCCACATATTGTCATGGTTGTTCTAGAAGGATGAGAGTTACCTGTCTGGAGGCTGGTAATATCTCATTTCTAATAATGGAATAATTTCAGTAGAGGAAACCATTAATGACAATGTTTCCCAGAGAAGTTACTTTTACTGTTGGGTAGTTTGTTATGTCTTTAGAGGGCTGCAGGACTTAGGTCACTGGTATGTTACGGCTGCAGTGATGTCTTCGGAGCTTGGCAAATGTTTCTTCATATGGTGACTGTGCCTCCTGATGCAGGCTGCCGCCTGTTTCTTTCAGCTCCATTTTTTAGATGTAGAAAATCACTGCTCATTGATGCCTGTAATACCTTTTCTGTATTCAAATACAGTAAGAACCCTTCTTTTCTCCAAAGCTATATCATTCTTGTTCCTTGAATTGTTCCTTTTCATTTATCTCTTCTGTCCTGTGGCTCATTGGATTCTCATCACTTCACTGTGGCCTGTTTAAGGTTTGGAGCTCATCTTTAGTAAGGGACCAATCAAAAGGTTTTCTCCTCAGCTCTCTTCAGATATCCTCAATATATTGTTTTACCATTAGTTTTTTTGGGTTTTTTTCCCCTCTCTCTCTCAGAAAATATTGGAGTCCTGTTATCTTAGGCAACCAAGAGATTTGTTTCCAAGACACTGGGCTTCTGTTTAAGGGTCCAGAGTTCAATGAGGATTTTTCAGATTTGGCAGCCAGATCTGCTTCATCCAGTATCCTGGTAGCAGACAGTTTGCACTTTATAGCGCTGCACATTTCTGTCTAATTGATCTAGTTGTCTCTCCAGCCAAGTGGTCTCATGTATCACTGTGATGATTCTGTTGCCTATCACTAGGCCCCCCGCCCATACTGAACTGTATGTGTTTCAGGCACCCTTCCAGATGGGAGGTGAGGCCTGAGCTCTTCCACAGTTCTTGCCCCTCATTTATCACGTGAATTGCCATCTTCCCCTGAAAGGTGCTGATTAACTATTTCTCTTTTTGTTTGTTTTTCTTTTTGATTAACCATTTCAGTGGGCCTTCTAGCAATTCTTTCACCAGTGTCCTTAACAGAAATAGAGATTACACAAGAGACTCCAGGCCATTCGTTGCTTTGAGACAAAGTTCACTGTCACCTCACCACCTTCAGGTGGGACAGCCAAAGCCCCTGGATGCTGTCTTTGTTATGTGCTTGTGATGAGTTTTGTCCTGGGCCTTGAAGCATTTCTTCTGATGAGCAGATCTCTCGTGCCCACAGACATACTTCATAACTGCTTTGGGCAGCAGCGTCCTAGTCTGTTAGTGTTCTCTTGTGATCTGATCTTTTTGGTAATTATATGCTCAGTAAACAGTTTTTGAATTAAATTGAAACAAGTCTTAGATGGAATTGAAAATAAGTGTTTCAGAGAAACTCACAGGCCATTACTAAGCTTGCTCATTCAACTATTCTTACCTTCTTTATAGTCTTTAACCTTAGTATTTAACTTCAGGTAATTATAAAGCTTGTAGACGAAATCACATGTTTTGCTTCTGTCCCGAAGAAAATTGTTTTGGAAGAGAACTTGCAGAAGATAAACATAAACAAGGATAGAGCAGTATATCCCTAAATATTTTTTCTGAGTGTCCACATGTTGCTTTCTTTTCTTCCTTTCTTATGATTTATTCTTTTTTTTTCCCCTCATGATTTATTCTTGCCATCTGGGGTAGCAGCCAGGGAGACTCAAGTAGGGCACAGGGAAGATGGAGAGAATTATTTTGTTCAGGTGAAATTAAGTCTGCATGCAGTTTTGGATAAAATTTTTAAAAAATCTGTGGAAAAGTTTTGCTGTAGGTACTTAAAACGTGCTTCAGACAAACTTCTGTCTCCTAAGGACCATCCGCGACGATCATGAGCTGCACATCCACCCGGCATCAGTCCTGTACACAGAGAAGCCGCCTCGCTGGTAAGCCTTGCCTGCTGCTGGGCCTGGGGGCCTGCCTTGGGAGCGAAGCCTAGTTCTTCTTCATCTCTGGGTTTCTAGGGTCTGGCCCATGCCCTGGGTTATAGGTGCTCTGTACATGTTTGTTGGCTTTGTTATTATGCTGAGTCTTCTCCATCAAAGATTCCTCTTAAGGAAATAGTGATATGTATCTCCTCACTCATCCTCTGAACAAATCTTCACTTTTACCCATTGACTGTATGCACTAATCTCTGCATAGCACAGCTATGCAGAGATGACTTGGGGTCCAGCCCACAGTCCTGGGATAGACAGACCTAGGCAGATTCCTGTACTGTAGCGGGGCTCTGCTGTGGTTGGTACTTCAGGTGCCACAGAAGTCAGGGCTGGCTTCATGGAGAAGGTAACATTTTCCCTGGACCTACAGATGAGAGTTTTTCAGGCGAAAGAGACCTGATGGGCATTTGGACTGAGGAAGTAGGATGGACAAAGCTGTGACAACATGAAGGAGCCTCATGTCTTTGGGGTCTGGGGAATCATGGTATGGCTGTCAAAGGCTACCCAAAGGGCAGCCCCTGCCAATATGCAAAACTGGCTGGGAAGGAAGAGATAAGTGCAGAAATTGGGAGAAGACATTTAGACATTTCCAAAGTGTTTTGACAGGTTGAGTTTATGTCTGCTTAATTTAATGTTAGTACAGGAATTTTATTTTGCGCCTTTTTAAATTTAATTTTTCTAAATCATTTATATTTTATAAAAAATATTGATTGACAATGGAATAGAAATGTTAAAGACAACAACAGCTGGTCCTTTACCAGTTAGAAGATGGAGGGAGAGCCCTTCTGAAGAGAAACATGTCTACAGACAGGGAGGGAAGATAAAATTAGAGGGCAGACAGATCTGTTGTCAGATAATTTGTACCCTAGACCAGTGGTTTTCCAAGTGTGGTCTCCAGACCAGCATCAGCATCACCTGAAAACTTGCTGGAAGTGCAGAGTCAGTACTGGGTTTGAAAATGTTACCGCATGGCCATTAGTGTGTGGGATAAGTTGAAGCGGGGAGTGAAACATAAGTTCTCCTTTTCTAAGGGTTTGCTGTCTTTGGGGTGATTACATTTGAAAAGGCTTTTTATTTTCCTCTTCTGTTCCCAAGGAGGTCTGAAGGGCAAATGGGAGGAGGGTGGAAGTACAGTACAGGCAGCTGGGAACAGAACCATGCCGCTCAGGTGGCTGAGAATCAACCCTCCCCTCATGTCTGTGCAGAGGGTTGCTCCTCCTTCCCTCATCAGCTGAGATTCATCCACTGGTGTTTGAGGGGTAACCAAAGTGTGGCTCTGGGGTTTTCGTGGTTCTGAGGGGCATCCTGAATTGATATTTAAGATGGCTCAGAAACAACTCTCTGTTAATATGTGCTTCTGAATTCTGGGGACTTGAAATTATATGCTTGGCTTTTTGGTTGTGTATTACCTCAGCCTCTCCCTCCCGCCCTTAAATAAAGGTATAATTTATATACAGTCAAAGATCAGTTTTGACAAATGTATACACCCGTGTAGCTTGCATTTCAAATAAGATAAAAAATATTTTCGTCACTCTGAGAAGTTCCTTTATGTCTTATAGTCATTTCCCAGCCCTTTTCAGAATCAGGCAAGCCTTTGCCTCCATTTCAATATTTTCCAGTGAAGTCCTTAAGTTCTGCTCTAATTGCAAACTAAGAATCTAGAAATGTTCTTCATGTTTAATGGAGTGCCCTAGAAATCATGTGGGATTTGGCATCTCATTTGTAAAATGGACGCACCGACTCACACTCAGGTCTTGGTGCTAAGTGAGCAGCATACGTGCATGTGCCCAGCACAGGGCCTGGCATGTGTCTGTGTGCCTGCTAAAGGTTAAGGGAAGAGACTCATCATCTCTAGCTGTGTTCCCGACCATCCTAAGACATGCTTTTTTCTTGTTTTAGGGTCATCTACAATGAAGTTATACAGACCTCTAAGTATTACATGAGAGATGTGACTGCCATCGAATCTGCTTGGCTGTTGGAGCTAGCTCCACACTTTTATCAACAAGGAACGGTAGGAATGAACTGCTTCCCAAAATGCCAGCTAGCAGCTGCTTCCTCTTGTTAAAATACATTTCCCCAATTTAATGGCTGAAATTTGTCCTTCCCCTCCCCCACTTACCATATCCCCAAACATTCTGGGTGAAAGGATTTGATCATTTGCTTCATAGGGAAGTACAACTAAAAGTAAGTTCCTCCAACTCCATAAGGAAGAGAAAAGAAAAAAACAGTAACAGAATCTCCAGCTCTTGTCATTTTTGCTCCTCTTAAGCTGTTCCTAAAGGATTGCTTCACCCTTGGGACCTGCATTTGGAGTGGCACAGGTATTCTCTAACAAGGACCACCTCCCAGAGCCTGGAAGCAGGCATGCAAGATTAGACAAAGTCATTGATGGGTGACGTCAAGCCAGTGTGCAAGCTCCCATGGAAGGCCATGTGCAGGACGAGCAGGGTAGGGAGCATTAGAGAGCACATTTATAGTTTTGTTTTATCCTTTACTTTTGCAACAAATGGTCCATTCATTGCCTCAGAAAAGGCTAAACATGCTTCTAACGAGATTTTTTTTTTTTTTATCCTTTTATTGGTACATTTTAGGTGTACAATATAATGACATTTATCATTGGAGATATGCACCTTTACATACTCTCTTGGTTCTTATTTTTCCCCCTTCCCCTGCCCTCCCTTCAACCCCTCTAACAAGATTTTTAACTGAAGAATAGTTAGGTGTATTTAGTAGACTGGCAAATTAGTCACAAACTTTCTGGCAAAATACAGTCTGTAGAGTCAGTCTTTTTGGTCTGCACTGTTTGTTTTGTTTTTATTTTTATTTTTATTTTTTGAGACAAGGTATCACTATGTTGTTCAGGCTGGTCTTGAACTCGCTACAAAGCCCATGCTGGCCTCAGACTTGCTGTAATTCTCCTGCTTCAGCTTCCTGAGTGCTGGGATTACAGGTGTGCAGAATCAAACCCAACTGACACCGTTTTTAATTGTTTAGGGTAGTTATTTGGAGTAATTATTAATATGGTCAGATTTAAGTGTACTACCTTACTATTTGCTCTTATTTCTTTTCTTTTTGGTACCGGGGATCAAACTCGGGTCCTTGCACTTGCACAGCAGGCGGTGAAACCACTGAGCTAAATCCCCAGCATTTGTTCTTATTTCTCTAACGTAGTCTGTTTTTTTTGGTACTGGGGATTGAACTCAGAACCTTGCACTTTCGAGGCAGGAGGCAGAACCACTGAGCTAAGTCCCCGCCCTCTAATGTAGTCTTTTTTTTGTTTGTTTGTTTTTTTGATTAAGTTTATTGGTACATTTTAGGTATACAGTACAGTTACATTCATCATTGGGATCTTGTACCTTTATATGATGTATCTTGGTTATTTTTTCTCCATTCCTGCCCTCCCTTCACTCCCTCTACCCTTCCTTATTTACAAAGACTTTGTTTCTATTTTTTCCTTTTCCCATGTTTTTTTCTTTTCCCTTCTTTCCTATCCCCTCCCCCTCCCACTTCCCCTACTCCTTTAGACCTTTTCTTCCTTTTTCAATTATTAATTATACATTTTGATCCTTATTTACACTTTTAGGTTTTCACACCAGAGAAACTATTTGGTATTTACACATGTGTCCTATTTATTTCATTTAAGAG